TGTCTTTCTTCAATTCCTGCAAGTATAACATCTTTGTGTTCAACTAAACAGGCTTAGGTTTCATTGTGAATGAATTGAAATGGAAAAAAAATCTCAGAATGTTTTTTTTCTGGATTGGGAATCATTGGAAATTTCTTATTATCATAGAACTGTATGGTATTACTACAGTACACGGGGTGGTATTTTAGTACTTGCTGCTGAAATACTGCTGAAAATATTGAAATAATATAGTGATAAATATTCATTGGAAGTAAACTCACATGACTAAGAGTCTCCTAATCTGCTCAGATATTGTTTTCACCTCAGTGACTTCAGTCTTTGGTTTTCAGACTTTGCTGCAAAAATAAACTGAAAGTTTCCTTTGTTTTCCGCCCGTGCTGCTGCTGCACCGCTCTACATGCTCTTTTTCTGCTCCTCCTTCTGCATTGGCATGCTAATGGAAGTATTAATTAATCATTACTCCACAAATGAGGTTCTGAAGTCCAGAGCCACGGAGCAGCGTTAGATATCTGCCAAGATACGGAGAGGAAAAAAAAGCTGCACCTCTGAAATTAGAAATGTAATCACCTCTGAGTGACAATGTTATTATTTTTCACGGGAACTGTGTCATGTCGGGGTTCTGCACAGAACAGGGGAACGGCTGCATAATCAAATTTTTTACATGAGTTCAAAAAAATCCCATCAGGACCTGAGGGTCCTCACCGTCTCGGCTGTGTAATTGATTTAGCTCCAAAAGTGTGTCTGCAGGTATTCATGCTCGCTGTGTAATGCACGAGTGTGTGTGTGTGTGTGTGTGTGTGCGTGCACGCTGCTGATGACACACCGTACCAAAGGGACTTGGCTGTGATCTTTAATGGCAGCGTTAATATTTAATGGTAAACGTGTTGTCAGCACAGAGCGGAGACGCTGCAACTGCAGGCCGATGCAGACGATGACAAGGCCCCCCCAGCAGGTGGCCTCAGTGGGGGGCGGGGGGGGGGTCACACACACTGAGCTGGATGAGGGGCCCCGTGGGTGCACCCGTTGATAGAGTTCGACAGCACACAATTGATGTTATGGAGCTCTTTTGTAGATCGCGGTGCAGACAGGAGCCACACAGGGACAGGGAGGAGAAGGAGGAGAGGAGGAGAGGAAAGGAGAGGAGAGGAGGAGAGGAAAGGAGAGGAGAGGAGGAGAGGAAAGGAGAGGAGAGGAGGAGAGGGGGGGGGGAGGGGGGGGCGGGGAGAGGAGGAGGAGGAGGAGGAGGAGAGGAGAGGGGAGGAGGAGAGGAAAGGAGAGGAGAGGAGGAGGCGGGGGGGGGGGGGGGGAGAAGAGGAGAGGAGAGGAGAGGAGGAGAGGAAAGGAGAGGAGAGGAGGAGGCGGGGGGGGGGGGGGGGAGGAGAGGAGAGGAGGGGGGGGGGGGGGGGGGGCGGGGGGGGGGGGGGGGGCGGGGGGGGGGGGGGGGAGAAGAGGAGAGGAGAGGAGAGGGGAGGAGGAGAGGAAAGGAGAGGAGAGGAGGAGAGGAAAGGAGAGGAGAGGAGGAGAGGGGGGGGGGAGGGGGGGGGGAGGAGGAGGAGAGGAGAGGGGAGGAGAGGAGAGGAGGAGGCGGGGGGGGGGGGGGGGAGAGGAGAGGAGAGGAGGGGAGGGGGGGGGGGGGGGGGAGAAGAGGAGAGGAGAGGGGAGGAGGAGAGGAAAGGAGAGGAGAGGAGGAGAGGGGGGGGGGAGGGGGGGGCGGGGAGAGGAGGAGGAGGAGAGGAGAGGGGAGGAGGAGAGGAAAGGAGAGGAGAGGAGGAGAGGGGGGGGGGAGGGGGGGGGGGGGGGAGGAGAGGAGAGGAGGGGGAGGTCGGCCTCTCACAGTCCTTAGAAAATGATCTCAATATTGCTGCAGCACACCAGGCACTGAGGGACGTGGACTTAGGCCGCAAGGTCACAGATTTGCAAGGGAGGAGGCAAAGTGTAGTTCAAGTCTGAAGATGTTCATGAAAAAAACTGTTAAAGTTGAGTGAAAGAAATGTCCATCTGGGCCTCAGCACCACACTGGGTACAGGACAGTGGAAACTGACATGTAGGGCAGTGGTTCTCAAACTGTGGTGCGCTCTCTACCACAGTAGAGCGCTCTCTAGTGGTAGGCAGTCAGTCCAAAAAAACAACAAAAAAAGAAAACTGGAGGGGGAAAAACAAGTAAAGTCATGAGGCTTTGGCCAAGTGAAGAGGAAAAGATTTAATGTCTCTGTAAGTTTGTTGTAGCTTTAATTAATTCACCTTTGAGACTGGAGTGGATTACTGGAGCCAATCCCAGGATTCATCGATCAAGGGCGGGGTCACACCCCAGACACTACAGCAGTCCATCACAGTGAGTCATAAGATTCACACTCACGTTCACACCGTGCTCAAACATCCAAAGTATCACATTACAATATGAGGTTAATGGTTGATACAGACATTAGGGAAACTAAAAGACAACAGAATAATTTTTTAAAGAACAAAATCTACACATATGCAAAAATGTGAAAAATGTCTTCATATTAATTTAGAACTTGTGTTATGACAAACAACAAAAGCACAAAGTAGACAAATATTACCGGAAATTGCTAAATTAACTAGCCAGAAGCTAGAAGACAACCAAAGTCCATAACATTCAGGTTCAAATCCCTGACGACCAAGGACAGTGAAGCTGTTTGTTCAGAAGTCAGAGTGAACCCAGAGCAGCTGCAGGGCCCAGGTTTTCACTGTTCCACCAAGACACATGTGGACAGGTGATCGCCTACAGCCACACAAACAGACAGCAGCCCTGTGTGTGCTCGTGTGTGTGTGTGTGTGTGTGTTCCTGCTATAGCTGTTTGGCTAAAGGCAAGCTCCGGGAAAAAAAGGAAATACAGGGACACGAGCCAAATGTTAGCTAAAACACAGCAGAATAAGTCAATTTCAAGGATTACAAATGACCTTCATTGACATACTACTTATGAGGACATTTTTGGAACAGTACTATTTTTGTGAGGGCAGTTTTGAGGGGTACATTTTGCAGGACCACACTGAGGGACAGAGTATTTTAGGGTATATGATTTTTCTTTTCAAAATTACGATAAGAATTGGCCTCAGATTAGAGTTATGATGAGGATTAGGATTAGACATACAGCACAGAATACTTGTTATAGTTAAGGTGTGCGTGTGTGTGTGTGTGTGTGTGTGTGTGTTTTCTTCACACAGAACACAGTGGACAAGCTGATCAAGAAGACCAACCTGGCTCTGGTGGTGGGAACCAACTCCTGGAGGGAGCAGTTCATGGAGGCCATTACTGTCAGTGCAGGTGGAGTACAAAGACGTTCATTTTTAATTAAAATTACAGAAAATACAGGAAATAGAAACATCGACTTTCAAAAGATGTCACTTTATCTAAAAAAAAAATTACAATAAAATAAAATTCAGGCAAATTGATGTCCTCGAATAAACACGAAGATCAGCCGTCCAAAACACACACATTTCAACTTTTAAAAACAGTGGTTCTCAACAGGTGGACTGCCACCCACTGGGTGATCGACAAGTGACTGCACAGAGGTCATGCATTTTCGGTGCTTTCTATGCGTTTCAACTGACTAAAGCACATACACATACATACCACATACAACCTAATTAGATGTCAAGTGGGCTGGACCAGTAAATGTTTTCATGCAATAATGTCCAAGTATATTAGATATTTATTATTTACTCATATTTAATGAAATATAATTAAAAAATAAAATCTTGGTTTGCGTTTTTTTTTTTTTTTCAAATTTTCATAATTCATCGAGTGGACCGGAATGAACACCCTAGCGGGCCAGTTTTGGTCCACGGGCCGTATGTTTGACAACCATGAACTAAACGTTGTGGTCAATGACGACCTGACAAGCTGTAAAAAAGTGTTTGTAAAAACAGCCATTCCATCACAGTCAGCATCAGCAGCATCAGCATCAGCCTCAGTCTGCAGTGCAGCTGTCACTCCATCCACTGCTCCATCCGTGATGCCTTCAGTCCGTCGCTCTGCTGCTGAAATATTCAATCCAGCCACGCCGCCTTTTCATTTTTTCATGATCCGTTCCACGTCTGGAGGATGAACGCAGCTCACGTGTCCTGACACTTTGAATCAGCAGCGTGTCCCTGCAGCTGTGTTTACTGTCAGCAGAGGGTGACACTGAGGACCGGCTGCATCTGCTGATAAAAAAGGACAAGGAGGTCGGCCGTGGGCACGGTCACCTCCTGATGCTGGACACTCAGCTTTGGTCCTGACTCGTGGGTCGGACTGGTACTTGAACTCACTTTACAGAGAAAAAACAAACCTGTGAAAATAACACATGTTGTACCAAAGTACAGCAGAGTAAACTGTCACCAAAACACAGACGGAAAACAAAGTTACCCCAAATACTTCGGTTTGTAAAGAGTACTGAACCAATATAGGATGAGGAGCCATTTACTACATACATTACTGTAGGGCGTACAAGTGTAAGGCAGGTGCATACATTCTGTATATCGCCCCCTACTGTGAAGAGAGACCCCTGAGTGTATCAAGTCCACCAGGGTACCTAAAAAACACAGTAAAACTGAGTAAAAACACCAAGGTACACAAACAGTGTTAACATAGTACACCAAAGTACCAACTCTATGAAATACAATCACTTTGTTGAGTGTATCAGGTATGTGAATTAATATATTTAGTACTCCAATATAGTGTGACAAATACATGGAGGTACTCCAAGTATATTGTATACGTTGTATACAATATACTTGGAGTACCAGGTGTAGGTTCAGTATTTGTTTTACCTTGATGTATACTATACATCAAGGTAAAACAAATACTGAAGCTACACTGCGGTACATGAAATACACTGAGGTGCAGCTATATACTAAATACGTCAAAGTACTTCACATATATAGTATCCGTCTGTTTCCTCAGTATCAGTATTCACAGCACAGTCTGAGGTGAAGAATCCGTCTGGCTGTCATCTGAGGTGAATGTTCTCCTCCTCAACCTCTCTGTCACCTCCTCTATCTCCTCCATCCATCCCTAATCTTTCCCCTTCCCCTTCCCCTCCTCCTCTCCTCCCCCCTCTCTCTCTCCTCTCCTCCTCTCCTCCTCTATCTCCTCCATCCATCCCTCGAGGCACAGTTAAATTCTGAATATGTTTTCCAAACATTGTTGATCATCTCTCTCCCTCTTCTGCCTCCTCACCCTCTCACGCCTTGATCCCTGTCTCATCTCTAAATATTTACTCCCCTCTGCTTCACTCCTCTCTTCATCTCTGTCCAAACGTCCTCCTTATCTCTGCGTCCTCATCACTGCTCCGCTCTGTCACGACCGCTCCGGTTCAACTTCAGCTGGAACTGAGCCTGCCCTCTCTCTCTCTCTCTCTCCCTGTGTCACCCGTAGATGAGGACGAGGAGGACACGGGTGAAGAACGGCTGCCGTCCTGTTTTGACTACGTCATGCACTTCCTCACCGTCTTCTGGAAGGTTCTGTTCGCCTGCGTGCCTCCCACAGATTACCTGAACGGCTGGGCCTGTTTCGTGGTGTCCATCATCATCATCGGCCTGCTGACGGCCGTCATCGGAGACCTGGCCTCTCACTTTGGCTGCACCATCGGCCTGAAAGACTCCGTCACTGCCGTGGTGTTCGTGGCACTGGGCACATCGGTACCAGGTGAGGGTCTTTCACTTTAACGGTGGAGGACAAGGTTTTGGTTTCACCTCCAGTTTAAAATACCATCTGAGTGGGAAGGTGGTTTGTGGGACAGTGCAGGACAGTAGAGACGTCTACGACTGACAAGCTGACCGACACAACTGTCAGGTGGACTGTGAGGAACTGTAGACTGAATAACACTGTTGAGGACAAGAGCTTCACCCAAGTAATCCACCAACTCTATAAAGCTATATTTTTGTTACACTTGACTTGGTTTCCTTCAGATTCCTCCATTATATTACATTATATATTAATAATTCCATCATTTGGATTAGACACAAATAATATGGTGTTATTTGTATTTCTGTTTCAATACAATATACAGTCAGTTTAGGTTGACGTCAATTAGTCATGAATAATTAATCACCATTAATCATTATTAATCCCAGCTCCTCTGTGATTAAAAATACATAAAAAATAAATGTTTTATAAAAACACTTTATATATAGTTTTTTTTTATAATTCTGTTTTTAATTTTTAGGGTAACCTTTATTGATAAAGCTTGTCATGTAGCAACATTAAGCTAACCTTTCCAAATCTTTCCAGTAATACAGTATATAATAATGATAGACAAACTTTCGACTGTTTGGCTAACCTTTAGCTTCTTCTGCCTAAACTGTATTACTTGTTTTAACTATGTTGGACAGACACATCTTTTTGTCTATTAATGTGCATTTATACTTTCTATCTTCAGCTCAGATCTCCACTCTACCTCTCGTCGAACTGTATTACTTGTTCTAACTATGTTGGACAGACTTTTTGTCTGGTCTTTTAGCTCATTTCTAGGTATTTGAGTTAACCTCATTTTTATTGATCTTGGACCTTTGGCTTGATATGTGCAGACATTAACAATCTTTTTGTCTAATAATGTGTATTTATATTTTCTATCTTCAGCTGGTAATAGATTACAGTAAAAATAAAGTACCAATATTTTAATACAATGTTTAGTTTCTTAAAGCTGCCACATCTGTACCTGGAGCTCAGATCTCCACTCTACCTCTCGTCCTCTCGCTATTTAAACACATATATTTGATGAAAACATTTTCAAAAGTCTATAAGGGTTTGTTTACTAATGCGGCTCACGGCTCCTTTAATAAGACCAAACGCTGACTCAGTCCTCTGGGTGAAGTATTGTTTCTTTTGGGTGAAAATGTCAGTCTGGAGAAAAAAGTAATAACAGCCAAGTTGCTGATGAGGCATGTTTGATGTTTGAGTGAGTTCACGAACCTAAAAAGCACATAATCCATCAAGTGACATGTCAAATCATGGACTAGCAACATTTGAGGATGGAGTCGGAGAAACCCGGGATTCAGGACAAAAAAAAAGAGGAAAACCTAGAGTAAAACGATTGCCTAATGAGGTTTTAATACCACCCCCTTAAAAATACACAATTGAAGGTGTATACATAGTTTTTGTTTATAATTTCTTGCATGCTGAGTAAAGATAAGCCCCGCCCCATTCTTCAACTACTAAAGCAACCAAAAATAACCATGGTCAGCCTAGATTAGCTTAAAACTTTTACAAACCTGGGAACTAAAAGATAGGGATGTTTGATAATTATTAGCATATTTATGTCGGTAAGAATCGTTATCACTTTTTTTCTCTGAATAATTGTCATTGCGACACAGCACACCACTGCACACAGTCAAATGTGACTTGTGCTTTTAACCCAAACAGCTGCATATATATCGGTATCAGTTGATATCAGAATCGGAAATGAAGTGTTTGGACAATACCGGCAAAAGGTTAATATCGGACACCTCTTCTAAAAGACAAAGGTTTTCCCAGAATATAGCCTAATAGTAGAATGTAGTCTAATGAAACAGTGTAATGTCAGCTAAGACTTGGCTAAAACATAACGTTAATTAGTCAATAAGAGCCAACATGTTACTTCTGTAAAAGCCAAAGGAAAGTTAAGCATCGGTTCTGACTGAAAACCTTTTCTTCTTCCAGACACTTTTGCCAGTAAAGTAGCAGCTGTCCAGGACACATACGCAGACGCGTCCATTGGAAATGTCACCGGCAGCAACGCCGTCAACGTCTTCCTGGGCATCGGCATGGCCTGGTCGGTGGCTGCCATCTACTGGTCCATGCAGGGAAAGTCGTTCGAGGTTCCGGCGGGCTCCTTGGCCTTCTCCGTCACCCTGTTCACCATCTTCGCCTTCCTGGCTATCGCCATGCTCCTTTACCGGCGCCGGCCCCACATCGGAGGAGAACTTGGTGGACCCCGGAAACACAGACTGCTCACGTCAGCCTTCTTTTTTGGCCTTTGGTTTCTTTACATCCTGTTCTCCAGTCTGGAGGCCTACTGTCATATAGAGGGCTTCTAAAGTCAAAGAGTTATGACCGTTATGACACACAGAGGTTTAGTGCAAATTCAGAGGTAAAAGAGTACATTCTCTCTCTCACTGGCTGTGGAATCGGGTCAGTCTTGGACAGTTTGGAAGGACAGAGGAGGTAAAACTGGGATTTTTCCCAGACCCTCTCTCTTTCTCTTCCTCTCTCTCTCTCCCTCAACCCTCTCTGTAAGGATACTCAGAGGTCGACATCCTGCCCTCAAGTGCCCCCTGGCTTCTTTGAGAGAGTTTGCTTACAGTTGGGATTGGGTTACCACCAAATCCAGAAGATGCTGATACCAAGAGATGGTCCTGCATTCCACTGGAAGACACTTACACAGTCCCATGCTGTATGTGTATCCGGGGAGAGCTGAGTTTATCAGAAGTCTATATTTTTCTCAACATCTGAAGAGAACGACTTTTTTTAAAGTATTTTGGGGATAAAAAATTTGAAAAAAACAAAACAAAACAAACAACAACAACAACAAAAGTTGTGCACACACACACACAAAGAGAGGAATCAGGGAACTATTTTCTGATCCACGTTATAGGAAAAAAAGAATATATGGTTAAATGGAAATATGAGTGACAGCAGGATGTGGTCATAGTATTTATTTTTATCTGCATTGTTTCTAAGGGAGGTGGGTACTCAGAAATCACACAGATGAAGAAAAATGAGATGATGATGAAGAGGAGGAGGAGGAGGAGAAACAACAACAACAGTTCATAGTTCACCAACCAAACCATTACGATGATGAACATGGTCAAACTGCCCGGAACATTACTTCTGTACTCTCTACGTATCTATATATATAATATATTTCCATATTTTCTGTATATTTTGAATATTTCTTTAAATGTGGTCACCTTCTGCTCTAACAACGGAGGATTCCTGTGGATCAGTAGCACAGGAGGGGTTGTGGGGGTCAAACTATATACTGGAACGATGTCTTCACATTTCTAAGAGTTATGTATCTTTTGCCTAGGTAAAAAAAGTATGACGTTGTATTTTATTTATTTATTTACCGATATCTTGGTCTGAATGGAATTTTCACCTTTTAAATCTGAAATTTCTGGAGTTAAAAAATAGGAAAAAAAAAACTAAGAAAAAAAAAGTGATCGTGTTGCTGCAGAGATAATTACAGAGGTATTTTTGTACTCTTCCATCCATGCACTTTGCTGTATAGTTCTGTAGATGGAGACTTCTACTTGTACATGTGCAAAAGGCAAATACTATCAAGGTGTCGCAAAGGAGTCAACACAGTGCCTGTGCAGGAAGATGTTTTTGCTGCAGCTTCTCACACTGAACCTGTTTAGAAACTGAAGAGGCGCTCTCCAAAATGGAGATTAATGATACTATGGCCGGCTAAAATGATTTTATTTACCCTCATACATACTAGCTCTTTTACTGCCCAGTTTTTAGAGTTTAACCTGAAAAATATTTGGAAAATTTTTCCATCTTAAAAATGTTTTGGCATTATTTTCTAACACAACTCAGTTCTAAATATTATATTTAAATAAAAATGTTGTGTTCTTTGTAGCTTAGCTGCAACATGGCTGTCATTTGGCTAAAACAGGACATTATTTAAATCAACTTGGACCCTCTGTCCTCTGTTCTTTAAATTACCATAATTTCTGGAAAAAGTTAAACTAAACAACATACATTCTTTTTTAATAATTAAGTTTAGCCATGTCCATATTCCAGAGTAAAATCCAAAAGTTAAAAAATAGCAAATAAAAGCTCAAAACAAAGCAAAAAGACAAAATCACTAAATAAAATTTAACTTTAAAACAACAATAAGAAGTGAAGGCCATAGTTAGCAGCTAGCTACCTTTAGCCTCTATAAAGAAAAATGAAGATAGATAGAATTTGGTCACTCACATAGTCGTGGCAACAACAACAGAGATGACAGTAGTAGTGGAGTTTAGCTTTGCAGACTGGAAAACACGACCAAAACCATTGTCATTAGTGAACCTCCATTTTGGACTGCGACTCTTCAGTGATGCTTCAGTGTGTTGTCGGTGTGGGTGAGGGAGCAGCAGTTAGCACCTGGTTGAATCCAACCGTAGTCTGATGTTGCTGTTTTACACACAGAAACGACTGGTGCTTTCTTTTTCACACAAACGTTTTTTGAAAAATCCTTACATACTTAAAACTTCACTAAAACACTAAAACAGAGTTTTATTACCGAATTCTACACAAAGTGTATGTTAGCATACAAACGAGTCTGTTTATAGCTAAGGTTAAAGTCACCCAATCAGAACCAAAGAGGTGGAAAACCAAACGTAGAAATACGGGACAGTAAAGTGGCGGTAACACTGTATTTCCACAAGGGGGTGTTATTCCTCAGTCCCTGCGGTTCTTGTACTTATTGCACTCATGTTCTTTGTGGTGAGCAGTGATGTAAATACTGAATTAGGTCCTCTGTTTAGGCACAAGACCTCACCTGCTCACATCACTGCACCTCTATTTAACTATAAAAGCTATTTAAACACACACACACCAACACACACACGCGCACACACACCAACAGGCACTTGCACGAACAGTGACACGTCTGACTGACTGTCTCATTCAGACAAATCCATATTCTTTTATTTAACTGTACATACTGTACACCTAATCTGAACCAGTGTGTCCACACGAGGCACTCTTAGCATTATTGGCTGTGTGGTTACCAACTTCCATCCACTAAAAAATCAAATCCTGATTTACATTAACAGCTTAAGACGGTCACAGAAAATGATGTCATATCCAGTGAAATCCAAGTGTGATGCGTAACAGTTTCCCAAAGACACAAAGGCTATGAAATAGCTACAGAAACTGAGCCACGTTTTTTTTTTGTTTTTTTTTAGATGGTCGACACCATGAGCAGCCATGTTGGGGTATTCTTTGGATTGGAAATGTCATCATATCAGTTCCAGCAGAGTAGGTTACATGGCATTTGGAACTTTACGCCACATTAGTCAAGCTCTATCTCAAAATTGTGCTCAGCAATCCTGTGGTTTCACAGCTGTTAGCTGTATCAAGACAACTTAACTGAAGCTGGGGATACACCGTCAGATTTGTTCTCAGATTTTACCCACAATTCCCAGTTGGACAAAATCTCCACCAGTCTACCTTAGTTGTGAACAGTTAGCATTACTAATTAGCACAACAAGTCAGTCAAACGGGTTAAAAACGTTTATGGCTTTTTATCTCTCACATTCAGTTGGTGTGATCTGGAAATATGTTGATCAACAGCCAATGGAAAATGAGAGAGGGAGGGCACAGGAAACAGTGTCAGAAGACGACAGGAAGTAGGGTGAAGATCGGTACCAACAAAGCAAACCTGGACCTGGAATATACACTATACTATATATTATAATCAGCCAATGAGAGTCCGATGGGTTCAGTCGACTGTAGTTGGTCTGACTAATCCTGTAGTCTGGGATTCCTCAAGAGAAACAGGTGTGGAGTGTGTGATCCCCAGTCTTTGTCCTCGTACAAAAACCTGCAGAAAGCGATCAGTGAGTGTGTACTTTAAGTCTCTTCCTAATCTGTGAAAGTTGTGTACTTCGTCCCCAACTGTACACGATCTACTGGTCACCAGGTTTTTGTAGTCCCTTCATCTGAGCCAGCGAAAATGTGGAATTCTTGAAGCTTTATTTAACTTATTTATTCCCTTCTGTTCTCATTGTGTCAACCTCTCCGTAGCAAAATACAGAAATTATTTTGGGTCTGACAACATGTGTGTGCGTGCGTGTTCGTGTGTGTCTGTGTGTGTGCGCGTGCTGAAGTGCATGTAAACCTGCTGAAGCTGCAGGCTGTGGGTCTTAGCACTGCTGTGCACAGGTGCTGTAGTAGTGATGGTAATGGTCTCCACAAGGGCACGACTCTGAATCGGTGGTCTTAAAAAAATAATACATGTCTTTACTTCTTCAAAGGAAAAAAAAAATCTCTATTTAAAACATATTTATTGTATACACCACTTCTTAATGCACCGGTTTTTGTTTGTCTTTGTTGGTTTGTTTTCTCAGCCTACTGGATGGAAGTGAAATGTCACTGTGCAGTAGTTAGAACTCGTGGTTGCTGATGTTGTGAGACAGTGAGGGAGGGGCTTCAGTGACCAGGTGGACACTGTTCTCTTCTTCTTTGGTCATTGGAACGGGACACGGGCCACGTTATAATGAATGGCTTTGTTTTTATTTATCTGGCCTGCAATGGGATGTTAACGTTTAAGGGAGGGAGGGGGCAGAGGGAGGGGGAGGGGCATATTTCCAAAGCTTACTGATGTTTTTTGAAATTGACCCGGGTTTTTTTTTTCTTCTTCTTCTTCTTCTTCTTTTACTGTGGAATAAAAGCAACTTTCTGGTTCATAAGCAAACACTGGTTTCACTGACTGAGAGCTCGTGTTCATTTGACTGACATACAGCAGTGATGACGTTCATTTACAAGCCTTTAGCGATTGGAGAGCTCACCTAACACAGCCGGGGACGGGTGGATGGCGGGCGGGTGGTGGAGAGGGGTAGACGACGGAGCTCATTCCTATCCTCTTCCTGTTGATTCTCAAGCTGCCCATTGAGATAACAAATGACAAAGTCAATGAAGTCCCATAGTTCATATCACCAATGTAGACGACATCCGATAAAATCTTAGAACTTCATGGCCTAAGAGATTAAAATATCAGGAACGTAATGAGGTGGTTGCCAGTTCAAATCCTGACACTGGCAGGACTGTTGTGTGTGAAGCAAACACAAAAAGTATTTATAATTTATTACTAATTTATATTTATATCAAATTTATTTATTTATTTATTTATATTTATCACCTGCCTACTTAAACATCTGCCTTACACACAGAAGGTCCTGGGTTTGAAACCCAGAGGAACCACATACTTGCTACGTTCAAGGGCCAGTCTGTTGTAGCAGACCTGCTGTTAACACAACGGTTTCCCCATTCTATTCTATTCTATTCTATTCTATTCTATTCTATTCACGCCACTGGCTGTGAACAGGAGACCTGCATCAGCGTGTGACGCTAACAGGAGGGCGGCACGTCAACTGTAAGTGACGTGTGTGTAAGCCAATAGGAAGCCGAGAATCATTATCACGTTGGTACAATTGGCTTCAACAGCAGTGTGGTTCTCCACAGCACTGAGGCAGCTGGATCATGGTGTGTCTGAGAGTGTGTGTGTGTGTGAGTCCAGGCTGCAGCAGCACTGACCGCTGAGCACCGGACGATGGTGCAAAACTGTGGCTCAGGGTTCCTGCGGGGTTTGTGTGCGGACTCACAGGGTACCTAGCTTCCCGAGCCGTGTGTGTCTGTGTGTGCGCAAAGACGTAGGCGCGCAGGAACGCTGATCTGCGTCAGGTGGATGCGCCCAGTCGGCCCTATGGATCGCCTCCATGGATCGCGTCTGCAAACCCAAGGATTTGGACGGTAGTTCGAGTTCCGATGCGCGCGTCTCCGCGTCAGAAGATGCAGACGAAGATGTTTTTCAATGGCCCACAAAAACCACCAGCACCAGCAGCACCATCACCATCACTGTGCCGCAGAATGGAGTTCGATCCGCTACGGACGCTGCAGCCGCCGCACTGCCGCTTCCGCCGGGTGTGTGGACGGCCGTGTTCGATTATGAAGCCTCAGCAGACGATGAGCTCAGCCTGCGCAGAGGGGACGTGGTGGAGGTCCTGTCCAAGGACTCCCTGGTGTCTGGCGATGAAGGCTGGTGGACCGGGATGATCGCGGACCGGGTTGGAATCTTCCCGTCCAACTATGTGAGCACAGGGAAAGTGATAGCGGAGGAGATCCGGGACTCGGCGGAGCATCTCCCCGTACCTCCACCCCTGCACCGTGAGTATCTCCATTGTGTCTTTCTGATGCAGCTGTTTAAAAAAAACGCAGCACACACCTCTCTTTTGTCTGGAGGCCAGAGGAGCCTGGAGCAGAGACACTTGCTGTGTCATGGCAGGAGATGTTGGCCTGTTCACGGTACCACAGCACCATCTGCTCAGCATCAGGACCATTGATCATCACATCACACCTTCACGTCCAGCACACACTCTGACATGATACATGTGCAGCAGAACCATCGCCTTCACTTCCACATGTGTGCTTGTGCTGCAGGACGTGTGTAAAATCCACAACTCACATCATTTCTCTTCCTGTGAAGAAACTTATTCAGTTTTTTTTCACTTATTTAGCATTTGTTTATTTCTTATATTGGCACAAATGGCTGCTGGTTTTGTTTTTTTGCACTTATTTTGCATATTTTCTTATATTGGCACAAATGGCTGCTGCAGAAGTAAAACATGTAGAATTGCACAACAACTTGAGGTCAAATCCAACAGTGTAGGAGGAAGTCTGTCAGTAGTTTTCAGCTTTTGTTAAACACGTGAGGTGTTGAATTAAATATGTGCTCCAACATGGCAGCCTCTGATGTTGGTTCGTCTTTGTCTTCTGTGGAGACAACAGTCGTTGCACACACGTTTCACAGGTTTCCACTCATGTCGTGTTAAACACTGACCAGTGAACCAAAACTTTGTGGCTTTCCTGCAGTAGTTCAATGGACCTCCAAAGGGTTGCGCACCCTCTTTTGAAGACCTTTGCTTTTGAGCTATATACTTGGTAATAATTTGGACCATAATATGCTTGCTAACCGTTAAATATGTTTTTTCTTTTGTATGTAAAGTAAAATAATGTAACACATTCCTAAATAGAGCCAGTGTGTTCAGTAAGACTCTGTTCATGTTTATGTTCTGTATAACAGACGTGTGAAAAAACAATACATTTCTCGAATAAAATAATAAAATCTAAAATAACAAATAACTTGACCATCATGGCGACAGACAGGGGACGTCTGCGTGCAGTTCCGTATTAACAGAAGCAGAAATTTCAAGATCATTTTAGCTCTGACCTGCAGCTCCCAGCTGTGCAGGAATAAAAACATAAACAGTTGGGTTTAATTCAATCAGAGCTTATTTACCCCTTTCCTCCTCCCCCCCCGGTGTGTTGAGCCGGGTGAGCAGTCTCACCCTCAGCTGTCTTCATTGGCTCTTCTCTATGGCCTACTTTCACACACACACACACACCCCCCCCACACCTGCAGTATTCATCAGGGTGCTCCCACTTCCTGACTGTTAAGTCTCCACAGCAGGAACGTTTGGTCGGTCGGTCGGTCGGCGACGACGCTCACCTTCCTCTTCGGTGGAGAATGACGTCGTCTTTTTCTACCTCTGTCCTTGTCTTTGAATAGTTCCTCAGCACAGAGGCAGACGACAGTGAGGTGTGTTTTTGGGACAGTACCGTGTCTCAGCATCCTTCATCTGTACTGACCTGTTTTCTTTAGCCCTGTCGATGGGGGAGACAGTGAATCTGCAGCAGGTCCAGACAGACTGTCTGTGTCCTCTCACAACCTTCAAACATGCAAATATGTCACTCTCTTCACCGAGCCGCTCGTAGAACAGGTAATTAAAATCCTACAGAGTTCATTTCCTTCTTTAACGGAGCGTTAACTTCCAGATGTGTAACATTCTTTACGGGCTGGTCATTTATATTTATGTTTGTTTGGATCATTGTCTACTGCTCGATTTTGTTGGATTTACTCAGTCCAATTAACATATTGGTAATGGCCACCTGCCTGTCAGCAGTGGAACTGCACCAAGATTCTCAGCTTTTGCGTTGACTCATTGTATTGCAGTCTATTGTTTAAAGATTTAAATTCTCAAAATCCTGTTCTTTCAGTCCTGGAGATCGAGTTCTCAGAACTGACTCTGGAGGAAATCATCGGTATCGGTGGTTTTGGGAAAGTCTACCGTGCGGTGTGGAGAGGATCAGAGGTGGCAGTGAAGGCAGCGCGGCGGGATCCGGACGAGGATGAGGCTCAAACTCTGGAGAGCGTACGACAGGAGGCCAAACTCTTTGCCATGCTCAACCATCCCAACATCATGGCTCTGCTGGGCGTCTGTCTGCAGGAGCCCAACCTGTGCCTGGTCATGGAGTACGCCCGGGGAGGCTCCCTCAACCGCGCCCTGGCTGGGAAGCGCATCCCACCCTGTACGCTAGTGGACTGGGCCGTGCAGATCGCACGAGGCATGTACTACCTACACAACCAGGCCATCGTTCCCATCATCCACCGGGACCTGAAGTCCAGCAACAGTAAGACTCCGTCTGTCTTAATGATTAACTCACTTGTTCCACCGTCAGCTGTGACGTTTCACCAACTTTTATTTAGAAATTTTCAGAAAAAACGGGTCAATCCACAAGTAATATTTTCCATTATTTTGTTGTTTTGTGTGGCCTGTTATTGTTGTGTAACTGTGTACCCACCGTACTAAACAGGTAGATACTTTGTAGTAATTAATAAAATACTTCAGAATCAGGGGGAGAAAGGACAATGAAACTGCATGTGTGTCTGTGGAGCAGCTGTAATCTTAGATTTCACCAACTGGATTCACTAAATCCCAAGCCTATTACTGAGGATTTGACCAACGGTCTCTCTCTGGTAGAAGCTCTGCCAATACACACCAGCAGCCTCTTCTCTGCCATTGGCAGATTATGCGCTGATCAGCTCAGGAACTTGGTTTCTAATAGGCTGGTTTAAAGTGTTAAGACGGACACACGAGTTGCCAAGCTGTGGTGGTGGAGGGGGAAACCCCTGATCTGGAGCGGAATAATGACTCCAACAACAATACAGGTTATATATATATGTGTTTATTCACCATTTTCACCAGTATGCATATATGTATATACATTTATATATATTTGTGTGTATATGTACATATATGTATGTGTGTGTACATACATTATAAGTAAATGTATACGTTTTATATACAGTACATATATACACACATATATTTTTGTATACAGTACATATATACACACACATATATATATATATATATATATGCATACATGTATACGTATATATTTATATATATATGATTGTCTGACCTCAGTTACTTCCAGACCCCTGTATTCTATGAAATACATGTTTTTATTTTATTTTACAGCATTATTTATTCTTCTGATATTTATTTACTTTGTCGTATTTTCTGCCGTTTATCGGAGATATTATTCTATAGTCCAACCTTGACACAGAATTATGCAAGAAGTGTTAGAGGAAAATTCTGTCAAAATTCAAAATATATTTCACTCAGACAGTGAAAAGAAGTCTGTGGTGTAAATTTGAGCGATGAAGAGAGAGTGAAAAAAGCCCGAGTCAGTGAAGTACAGTATCAGGTTGTGTTTTTACCGCCAACACTAATACTAACCATTAGCCGTCCAATCATATCAACCATCCTCTCTCCTCCATTAAGGCAGGAGCTCCTCTGTCTCCACAGCAGTGTACATTACAGTGAGTGCAGCAGGATTGTCCTCAGGGGGGAAACCAGCAGCACTGGTTCAGCTCCTCCTCTTCCTCCTCCTGCTCCTCCTCCTCCTCCTCCTCCTTCTCCTCCTCCTCCTCCTCTTCCTCCTCCTCCTTCTCCTCCTCACTAACACAGGAGCAGCATTTACATTTGGTCACATTTGGTTTTAGTTTGGTCTTGAAATCCTTCCTCGGTGGCTTTAGAGGGACATGAGATGAAGATGGCACTGCCGCCCACTGAAACGCTCCTGTGGTTGGGGGGAGACGACGTCTGCTGTTCTACAGCCTATCAGAGCAGATGTGATCAAACAGGACTTGTCTCTAGTTAAACTTTAGCATCGCTATTAGCATCGTCTGGTGGAGGGACGTCATTGGTGGAGATGTGAGATATTCAAATAGAAATCAGTCTGTTTTTCAATATCTTAAAGGTCCATTTATTATAGTTGGTCAAGTCATAGTTGTGTCATATACAAAAAAACAAAACATAATTAAATATAATAAAAATAGATGACTTTTCTAATTTTCACATAAATACAAACAAATAAAAATAAAACAAAACCCCTCCAAAGAAATCTAAATGAGAATTTATCTAAAAAGAATGTCAGACGAGGATTAAAAAAAATAAAAATAGATGACTTTTCTAATTTTCACATAAATACAAACAAATACTCAAATAAAATAAAACAAAACCCCTCCAAAGAAATCTAAATAAGAATGTCAGACGAGGATTAAAAAAAAGTTTTCTTTTTTAATCTAGACAAATAGGCGGCTCGTGGTCCAGATACGGACCACGAAGGCAGCTGGTGTAGACGATGGTCTGTGTGTAGGTTTTATTTTTTCTCTTGTGGCTCACTCTGTTGGTTTCTCTCCTCTTTCTTCTCTCCTGTGCTTATTTCCCATCATTCCTTTCACCCTGGCCCCTCCCTGTTTGTTCGTCCACCTCGTCTGGTTTTTTCTTTTGATGTGTTTTGACGCGACACACCTGCCGCTGTCTGTCTCAACATTTGATTCCCTTCCCGATAATGATTTTCCGCCAATCCCTCTGTCAATTTACATCAAATCCCGCCTCATCCTCCAACCCCCCGGCCCGTCCACCACCCTGACCTCACCCCGCATATTCAACCTCACATGTTCACTGCAGTCCTAATCCTAGAGAGGATTGAGATGGAAGACCTCAGCAACAAGACTCTGAAGATCACAGACTTTGGCCTGGCTCGGGAGTGGCATCGTACCACCAAGATGAGCGCCGCCGGCACCTACGCCTGGATGGCCCCTGAAGTCATCCGCTCCTCTATGTTCTCCAAGGGTAGCGACGTTTGGAGGTGGGCAGAGGAGAAGGACCGGACTGAGGGCAGGAGATATTTTAGAGCACACAGACAGAACAAAGACCGTATATGAGAACTGGTTGTAGTTATCTGGTTACTGACTCTCAGGTGAAGGCAGGTTTATTTGGAAAGCGAAACTTCATACACACATTCTGGAAGCCTTCCAGAATGCATGCTGGGCTTTGAGATGTAATTTAAGTTCAAGCTGCTTCAGTGAAACCAGAACTTGTTAGCCACTGTTGGAGCAATGACAAGTGGTGGCCTGTAGAAATGTTGTAAAGTACAGAAACTGCACCGTGTGTTGTAGGAGTGACCTGAAAACACAGCCCAAAAAGAAGAGAATCAGTTTATCCAGTAGAAACAGAGGGAAAAAAATCAGCTGTAGCAGCAGTTTCCATAGTAACCGTGTCGAGTCGCAGAAGAGGTGAGAACGCGGTGTTTTATGAGACAAAACTGGAAAAAGCTGACAACAAAAATTAGCTATAAATATACGACACATTAGGTTTATGCAGTCAGATACTATGAGGTAATGTGTTTTTGCTTTCCCTTAAATTGTAAAGTTATAATAAGACCAGAGGAAATGGATTCATCCAAGCATTATTATTAAATATTCAATATAAGAATAGAGGGCACAAATGCAAACTTTTTTATTGCTGTAATAAAAAAACAGCAATAAGAGATTACAGATTATTATGGAACATTGTGCAACTCATATTGTATTACAGCAATAAGAGATTACACATTATTATGGAACATTGTGCAACTCATAGGTTTAACTGTATAAGAATGCTAATGCTCCAAAAGTGACCATTTATATATAAATAAACTGGACTCCTCTGGATTGATGTTTCCATCAGAGAATTCCTCTTCAACTTCAGGAAAAAACCTTTGAAGAAACCTGTGTTTTTTCTTGGCACCCTTGATTTAGTAACTTTGTGTATGTTATAATTATTTGTCCTAAATCAACCTCTCTTCTCCAAAACGTTATGTATTCAGATTCACAGATATTTCTGAACAACTTTGTATTTGTACAAATATTCTCACGTACGTGTGCTGAACAACTCAATTTGTACAAATATTCTCACGTACGTGTCTTTATAACAACTTGTTTATAAAACATAAAACTCAACAGACTTGTACTCAGTCTGAGTTGTTTCTCGTTACCATTGTGTTTCTGTCGTTGGCAGTTATGGCGTGTTGCTGTGGGAGCTGCTGACCGGAGAAGTTCCATTTCGGGGTATCGATGGTCTGGCTGTCGCTTACGGAGTAGCGATGAACAAACTGGCTTTGCCCGTTCCCTCCACCTGTCCCGAGCCTTTTGCTCGTCTTATGGAAGGTATGACTGAACGGTTGTATCGTTTTCTGCTCATCAAGTACTGCACTCCAGAATGGAGTAGAAGAGATGATATAGATGCTTGTCATGCGTCTTAATGTCGCAGAAAATACTGGATGAATTACCACAGTACAATATTTATTTTATATGTTCAATGTTAGTATAATATTGAGGTTATTGTTCTAACCAGTATTGCATTGCTAATACTTAGCATTTCAACATTTAAAAATGCTAAATATTTAAGTTAAACCTCCAAAAAAGTCTAAGAAAAAGAACAACATAAAAATAGCGTGGAAAACAAACTTAAAAAAAGCTCAAATATAGCTAAAAGATAAATGAAAGTTAAAAGATAATTCTTTAACCAAAACAGCTGAAATTGTGCTAAGAATGAACCTAAGTGCTACGTTAGCAGAAACAATAAATAAATAAAAATTTAACACTATGATAGCTTAAAGTTTGAAAAAAATTTCTAATGGTGTCCAGGAAGATGGCTTCAGGTTGGTCATTAATTCATAAAGAGGTCAAAAAAAGTTTCATGATAGCTGTACACCCACAGAGCTGTATTTGTCGATTTGGATATGCTAACAAAAATGCATTTTCAGTTAGAAGTGAAGAAGAAGAAAGTTGTCCTGAAAATGTTTTCGTCTTCCTCCACAGACTGCTGGAGCTTAGACCCACACTCACGTCCACATTTCACCAGTGTTCTGGATCATCTGACGGCCATCGAGGAGTCTGGCTTCTTTGAAATGCCCGTAGAGTCTTTCCATTCTCTGCAGGACGACTGGAAGCTGGAGATCCAGGAGATGTTCGACCAGCTGAGGACCAAAGAGAAGGTAGAGACGCCGTACCATACGGGGCAGATCCACAGGATGGCCTCTCCAGTCACCTCTCCTCCTGCTTCTTCTCACTCAGGAGCTGCGCTCGTGGGAGGAGGAGCTGACCCGAGCCGCACTGCAGCAGAAGTGTCAAGAGCAGGCGCTGAAAAAGCGAGAGCAGGAACTGGCCGAGAGGGAGATCCACATCCTGGAGCGAGAACTCAACATCATCATCCACCAGTTGTGCCAGGAGAAACCTCACGTGGTGAGAAGACAAGGGAAGTTCAGACGCAACCGCCTGAAACTGAAGGATGCCAACAGGATCAGTTTACCTTCAGGTAACTACCACCCTGGTGTCATCATGCAGAAAAAATATTTGGGAAAATAATTTCAATTCAATTCAAAGTAACACTTTTATTATTTATTTGGCAATATTTTTCACATAAAACGTCAATTTGTAAATGAACATTTCTATTGTTTTGAATGATCTACACAGCCAATCAGGAACACTAACTAACAAAATGTTTTTTAATAGATTTTCAGCATAAAATCACAGTTCAGGTTTCTCCATCCCACGATCGACGGAGGAGTTTGCTCAGCAGCAGCTCCACCCCCCCAAATAGTCCACCGATGCTGCCTCGTCTGAGAGCAATCCAACGTGAGCACCATGATTATATTTCTAATATAAAAATATTATTATTATAATCACATAATTTGTTTGTCGCTGTCCTTCTTTTCTTCACAGTGGCTCCAGGAGAAGGTTCCTCAGCCTGGAGCCGTAGCAAAGGTTTACAGCAGGATATTGATTTTGAATGTGAGAGGAAGGGCTCCAGGAATAAGGGCAGGTCCCGTGGTTGTTGTCCGTACAGAGAGCACAGCGCCGATGCCAGGTCAGAATCTAGTAACATTTAGGGATTTTGTATTTATTACTATTTCATTTTTAACCTTCTAAAATCAACAGAAACATGAGGTGAGAGTGAAGGTTAAGGTTAGCTTGCTTAACAGCCAGTCAGGGTTGGATTCAAACCTACAACCCATAACAAGCCTGATCCTCTTACTATGAAGCCACAGGCTCTCGCTTCCAGGAAGTACTCCAATCAGGCTTTCTTTACTCAAATTAGACCCACCCCCTGGTGGTGGGACTATTATAATACATCAGGAACAACACCAGGAACAGGAACAACAAAACCTAACATCATACTTTTATACTTTGGTTGCACTGTTAAAAAAAAATATGACTTTTTTATTGTTTTTACTCGCAGTACAAAAACATGACTCTCTTATTGTTTTTACTCGCAGTACAAAAACTCCACATGAGGGCAGCAGACAGCGGTCTTGCAGTGCCCCAAACCTGCGCCGATCCCCGAGACACAGTCCTGCAGTGCCTGGCGTTCCGAGCCTGGTGGAGATGGGTAAGTACTGTAGTACTACTGTAGTAGTAGGTCTGTGTGATTAGAACAGGCTGTTCACATGTTTGCTAGTTTACACCCTTCATCCAAAGTTACCCAGGAAGGGCATTCATGTTTCATGATGCCAATGGTTTCCTGCAGTGGCCTGTAGAGAACGGATGATCTGATCCGACATTTTATACCATTGGTGGCAACAAATACATCAGACAGGACTGAACAGGCATCAGGTTCAAATAGTGGCTTGAGCAAAAAGCATTTATCTGATCCACCGTCCAGGTTCAACAGGAATGTGGTGAAGATGAGATCAACAAACTACTACAGTGCAGTGAGGAACACAGGGAGAGACACGTTTATATTTAAAAGTGATTTCACTGCAGTTCTAAAGATAAAGACATGGTTGGGAAACATGCAGAATGAAAATGAGTGTGTTTGGATGAACGGTTCCCACATGGTTCTTAGTGCTTGACGTGACAACCTCAGATGTTTACAGTTGTCTAAAAGGACAGAGGCCAACGCTGCTGCTGCTGCTGCTGCTGCTGAAAAAGGATCTAGCTCACTCAGCAAACAAAATGTGGATGGCTGCGGATTGAAGATTTATGTGTGTGTGTGTGTGTGCGTGCGTGTGTGGTTGCACTGTAGGACAAACAAATCAATATTAACATGTATATGATCCTGTTTTTTAGAAAATGAAGACTGCTGCTTCACCACTGAACCAGGGGCAGCTCCTGATCACTCCTACCTCTGTATCCCATTCAACAAAGAGAACCACTCCTCTACTGCTGCAGACAGTGACGGAGACGAGTACTGCCCGACTGGTGGACCCGTACCAGGAACACCTCCGTGCAGGAAGAGTCCAGGAAGTGGACGACGCACAGAGCTGGTGCTGCTCGGCTGCAGTGCTCTCCTGGCAGCCGTCGGACTGGGGTGCAACCTGTTAACTCAGGCCCATCCAGAGGAGGGCGGTAAATCCCGATGGGAGAGTTTCTTCCACAGAACAGGGGGTCAGAAAAGAAGCTCCAGCCCCCCGACTCGTAGACTGTTCAGGAGGGAGAGTCCCCTGAAACCCTCAGCACCCTCAGTAAAACCCGAGCGAGGTTTGCCTTCCTCTTACACACTGATGTCTTTATCATCAGTGTCTGACTGTAACTCCACCCGCTCCCTGCTGCGCACCGACAGTGAGGAGCTGTTTGTCTGTCGACCAGCATCTCCGCCTCTCACACAGCCCCCTCTGAAGCTTCAGCATCCACAGCAGCAGCAGCAGCAGATCGTCCAGGCCCCCCTCAACCCGCTCGGCAGCACCCTCAGTAAAACCCGAGCGAGGTTTGCCTTCCTCTTACACACTGATGTCTTTATCATCAGTGTCTGACTGTAACTCCACCCGCTCCCTGCTGCGCACCGACAGTGAGGAGCTGTTTGTCTGTCGACCAGCATCTCCACCTCTCACACAGCCCCCTCTGAAGCTTCAGCATCCACAGCAGCAGCAGCAGCAGATCGTCCAGGCCCCCATCAACCCGCTGGTCAACACCCACCTGGAGAGCTTCAAACGCAATCCTCGCCAGTCTCTTACACCCACACACGTGCCCTGTGCCCCCAGCACCTTGAGAAGCCTGCGTCGAACACCGTCAGACGGAGCCATCAAGAAAAGCTGTCCTCTGAGTAATCTGGAACCTCTGCCAGAGAAAACAGCTCTACAGAACACAGGTTAAAGGCTTGTCCACTGTCTTCTAAACCAGACGAAGGGATACTGGGAATAAGTGCAGCTTTAACTGCAGTAAGATTTTAGGTTTTACTGCATCCATTTCAACCTTGATATATAGACACTGGTTTGGTAAAGTTATAGGTTTAGGTTTTTTTAATTAATTATATGATATGATTCATGATGATGATCTTCCAGCATTCCCTTTACAAACTACTGTTAGATCACAATCTACCTGTTTAGAGGAAGCTAAAACAGGGGTGCTGTCAGGTAGCACGAGGTCTGAAGTTCTATGTGATAACAGTGAGACAGGATAAACAGGTCTCAGTCCGTACTAGTTGGTAGCAGTCCTGTTGCCATGATCTCAGACGGGTTGATCTAGATCAGTAGTTAGTTCCCAAAACTGAGAGGATTGCAGGTGCGACTCCAGACTTGGTATGTTAAATGCCACCGTTCTAGCAGCCTTGCTGTTTAGACGTTTACTGGCACTAATAGTTGCTAGTACAACTCAAACTCAAATGTTGTATTTTCCAGTTTGATCTCTCATATTTTTATATTAAGATCTATTCAGTTGCTTTAAATATATTGAACAGTTTGGAGATATGTTTTCTCATTTTAAATTCTATCCCATTCTAGGTGGCTTCAGAGTTTTGAAAGAGAGCCCCAGTGATGTTCCCCGTCTCCCTGATCCTAATCTGGTGTTCCCTCCAACACCTCGACGCCGCTGTGTCCCTGAACGCCCCAAAACCCTTGACTTTGTAGCTCGACCACGGCCTTCGCCACGGGTACGTCATGATGTGTTTTGGGCCGATTCGCGTCCCAGATGTAATGGACAAATTCTGGGTAATGGTGAGTCTCCGGCCCACACCTCCAGCACGGAGACACCACCAACTGTAGAGTTTGGGAGAGACCCAGTTGTGCTACCCACTCCAATGGAAGCTCCAACGCCCTACTCCCCACGGAGGAACCAGAACCTGCTGGACCAGCGGGATGAAGGACAGTACAGGGATGGAACTGTTCCACTCTGTAAGCCAGAGACCAGCTTTCCCAAAGACTCACCTTACCAACACAAACCTGGATTCTGGTCCTAATGTTTGTGGTCCGTGGATCTGGGGTCATACATTTTACAAGTAAGGGACAATAACTGTGAATATTTCGACCGTTCTGATTTTCGTTTCAATACAAAACTCAAATCTTCCAGTACAGTATTTAAACAAGCTAAACTACCAATTGATTCAAAGGGCAAAAAAAACGATTGTCATCATGTCTTGTGAAAGAAGTGATTTCTTTTCTCTCTGAGCATTAACAGGTGAATGGCTTTGTAGCAAAAATGCGTAAAAAGACATTTTAAAACATGGGTTTAATGTTGTGCACATTTAAAAGTGCACTTCTGGTAAGAATCATGAATGTAAATTTTCTGTTTTTCCCCTAAAAAACACCGTCCCTGTTCTTACTGTATGTCGTTACAGCATCATAGTATTTAATTTATTTTTTCTGTATGTCTTTGCAGCATCATAGTATTTAATTTCTTTTTAACCTTCTGTGTCCTGTACGTGACACCTGTCATCACCAGTCACTTCTACAGAATCCCATTCCCAGAGAGAGACAGATGATGTTGTATAGAATGAGCACTTTTTGGCATTTGCAGCCATGTCAGTTCAGAAATGTCACTGTCTAGAGCTGCAGGCTGTGGATTCCAGAGTAAAACTGTTGACAGTCAGGCTTGAATTTAAAGTTGAACTGATGATGTGTTTCTCTGCCTGTGCTTCTTTTTGCCTCATGACTTGTTGGTCAGGATGGGATGTGGGATTTTAGCAGAAAACGCCACAGTTGCTATGTGAAAATGTATTTCTTATGAATATTATTTAATATTTATTTAACTGACTTAATTTATTCAACAATTTATATAATGTTTTTTTATTTTTTTTACATTTGCCTTTGGTTTGATTCAAATCCTTTAACAACTACAGCCACCCTGGTTTTATTTTTGTTTCTTTACCTTACAAGATTACATCTGTTTGGTTACGTGTCAAAATTGTTCACTGAAGGTAAAATGCCAAAAATGACTTCCTCTGAGAGACAGTGGAGTTGTTAATAAGAGGAAATATGGGGTAAAGCATGGAAACACTTGCAAATACAAAATAGGAGGGGAACGATGCATAAACTTTGAGAAGAGGGGGAAATTCTACGAGTGATCTGCTCCGTCTTCATTCTAAATGTAATCTGATGTAAATGTGATGTGAATGCTTCCTTTTCCTCTGAGGATGTGCGGAATGTCAGGTGTATCCATGTAAATGTTACCATGAATAAGCTGACCTTTTTGATGGACATTGTTCAGGTGGGGAATAATGATACTGTATTTAAATGACTTGTATTTGCACTGGAACTCACTGATTTGATTAAAATCATATCAAGCAGTCCTGCAGTGGTTATAGTTCTGTTCTACCTCGTTTTTTTAAATTACCGTAAATGTAATCATCAAATGGGAGTACTTTAACTCCCATTTTTTAACTACTTCCTGTGCTGCTCTACCTTGGCAGCCATCTTTGTTTAAATCAAACACAAAGGAAACAGCAGCACGTTCAGCAACTCTCTTAAGGCTTGTAGAAATGGTCAAAATATGTTTCATCTTTATCCATGAACGTCTTTGAGGGAAAGCTAAAGCTATAACACCGGCAGCCACCCATTTACCAGGTGAGTTTATCATAGGAAGTCTTAGCTTTTCCAAACATCACAAGACATGTTGTTGACCATGGCTGTTGAAAGCATGATTTATATTAAAAAAGGGGTTTGTTACTTATAGATAAGGTTTTGAGTGGCCATTTTGTTTTTCCTTAATCCAGGTTTTCTCAGTGTGGACACCTTACTTTGGAGTATGGAGACAAAATGCTGCGGTATGTGTGATTTCATAAATTAAGCAGGATTTATGGTTGTTTTTTGTTTTTTTTGGGTGAACCTAAAGTTTAAATAATTAAAATAATTGGTATTAAGCCTGGGGTCTATACAAAGCAACAATGTGTTAGCCTGAAGTGCTTTTCTAGCAGTCTCATGTGGAAACTACAGACATTTAACAACTGTTAGCTCTATATATTATTATTAATTTTTTCATTCATTAAATGATCAAATTCATTTAATTCTTAAGACCCTTTGTTTTATCACTTTTTCATCTGCCAGTATACTTAGTCAAGTATACTTGACTTTGTAAGTCACTAGAGTCAAGTCAATTACTACGTTTTTTTTTTTGTTCGTTTGTTTAGTGGATTTCACCCTGAACAAAGAAGCTTTTTATTGTTATTTTGCAAAAATGAAAAGCACTTTGGCCATAGTATATCTTTCTATTTAAATCCCATACTATCACTGAATCTTAAAAAATCCAGTTGTAGATCCCAACAAATTTTAATACCTATACAATGAAGAAATCAATGGAGACTGTTTCAATCAACAGACACGTTTATTTCACACACACCTTTACAGTAAACATATAGTGTTTGTTGATATAGGAAATGCTGTGAATGAATTAAGTGCTGTGTTTTGGCGTTCAGTTACACAAGTAGCTTGTTTTTTCATATTTGTTTCTGTAATTCTTCTTACGTAGCCTATTTACATGATGTGATATGTCCCGTATACCCTATACTGCCACTGGCAACTGTGTGCTCTCTGAAGTCTGTCTCAATGCATCTTTTTTAATAAAACCACTCGGTGTAAGCACCTTTTGTTCAGACATAATTTAAAGTTTTATATAAAATAAAATAATTAAAATGTTATAGATTATAGTAATTCAAAAAACCACAGACAACTAACAGACAAGAACTGTGTTCTTATGCCGTGCCCTGTAAAATACATCTTGTGCATAGGACGGTGCTAATTTAAACATAAATGTAAACAATCACCTGCAGACATGCTGGATTCACGCTGCGTGCTGTTCTTGTACTTGTCACAAGTGTTGGCCTGTGTGTGCAGTGTTTGGACTGGCAGTGCATCACTTTGTAGTTTGAGTAAAAACTAACCCCAAATCAGTTTGTTTTATGTATAAAAAAAAAACCAGCCTCAAGCTCACAATAGTGGAGGTCAGTAATATAACCGGCCATCTGATGCTGTGCAAAGCAAAAGCTAACATGAAACTGTTTCACGCCGTACGATTGGGTTTGGTCTGAGTGGAACAAAGTAGGGCAGAAATTTACGACAGCTGATCAGAAGTCACCCGGCCCGACACCAGCCTGTGTTTATGTCGCCTCCTTCTTTTCCCTTTGGGCCTTCCTGCGGATCTTCATCTCCGTCAGCTGGATGTAGCGGATGACATTGGTGTCTGGAAAAACAAAGACAGGAAAGGGATGATTTATTTTTTTTGTCAGAGAGGAATTTTTCCATCAGTGTAGTATCTTTTATGAAGATGAGTTAGGATTTGAAACTTTTCAAAAGAAAAACACTAACTTAACAGAGTTACATTTCTCATTAATGAATATGTTTATGCAAAAAATAGGAAATTACAGCTGAGAACAAATCCTAGTCTAGACATGAAGGCCCATACTGACAAATTGGGATTATTTAGGACATACAATTACCAAATAAAAGTCACATCATTGCGATCTTATAGGGGCAAAATTGTGCTGCTTTTTATGCATCAATATGGTTGGTATGATGTCTAAATTAAATGGTAGTAAAAAAAACAACAAAGGTTTGAACAAAGTTAGATTCTTTATACACCTAACAGCCCTGTTAACAGCCCTGTTCTGAACGCTTGGTTTTCTGTGTCTTTACCTTTAAATGGTAATGAGTCACTGCATGCTCGCCTCACCTCTTCAGTGAGGGGAAGACCTCAGGATGTTTCGTGTTCTACGTTACCATGGCAACAGTTCGGCAGTGAAAGAAAAATGGTTGTTTGGGCCAAACCCAGAAAAAGAAAAATAAGCTCGAGAGGAAAATGGAGAGCCAAGAATGAATCTAGATGTTTGTCCTTGGTTGGTAGATAAGTTTGTTACTAAAGGATTAGCCTAAGAGCTACCCAGTTCTGGGGCAAAATAGTTAAAATCATGCACCCTTGTACGTCACAAAGCAAATGAAATTGGATACTTCTAATAATATTTTGGGCATTTATTAAAGAGTGAGGCATAGAACTGACCTTATCTAGGTTTATGTCCACTACATAATGATATATATGTATATTCTTCAGCTGCTCCTTCAGGAGTTGCCACAGTAGGTCATCTGCCTCCATCTCACCCCGTCCTTTGCCTCTTCTCCTGTTACACCTACCCTCAATGTGTCTCTCTTTGACCACATCCATAAATCTTCTCTGGACTCGCCTTATCTCCAACCTCAGCTGTTCTTCTGATCTGTTCATTTCTAGCTGTGCACACTCTCAGCAAATCTCAGCTTATTTTTTCATCTTAGCCTCTAGTATTTTTGATGATGTCTCACTACTTTTTTGCGACCTGTTCTGAGCACTATTAAATAGTTGAACGCACCATTTTACCTGTCCACCCACATGTCTGTTCTACTTGTGCCACCATATATCACTACTACTACTACTTTTTTATCACTAAATCTCCAGGGTATACTGCATACCTGCTGTGTTTTCCTCAGATGTCTATCAGCTCATTTAAGACTTAACCCTTTTCACATTAGACCTTTTCATATGTCAAACCATAATGACCACACTTGTTCCTGAGCTCCTCGCAGGCCTGATTTAGCCTTCATAAAATCACTTGATGCTGCAGAGTTTGAAAAGGTCAAAACTTAACCTTCATGGCCAAGAGGCTGAGCTGTGGTTTTATTCAACTCGCAGCACTTTCCTCTAACGAAAGCCATTTGGTGAGAATTAGCTATCAACAGAAAGGTCACTAGCTTGTTTGCAAACCAAGGTATTTTTGTTTTCTTTAGTCCTCTACGATAGGGACTCCGTAGTAAACACTGCATCTTTAGGAGGGAACATAATTTTTGATGACTGCGATAAAAACACTCCTAGATGTTTGTTTTTTAAGTTAAATATAAATTATACAAAGGGAGTGAAACTCATCCAAAGTGCTGTAAATAAATTTGATTTTTTTTTGTCTGTAGGTAGAGGCAGAGAAAGTTGTTCCTTTTTAAAAGGCTTTTTCCTTTTGGAAGTTTTGGAAGAAGAAAACACAGATTTTTAATTCTTTACACATTTGAACTTTTCTAGTATTTTTTATTTTTTATTTTGTTGATGACCAATTGAATGTTTTTCCAGAATCTGTAAAATAGAGACAGAATTTTTAATTACCAGATGCTATGATTCCTTATTAGTAACCTGAAGCACAGACATGATGATCAGTTTGGTGAGGGCACGGTCACCTTCCTTTAGTAAATGGTATTAGTTTACTCAGCCAGCACCGATTGTCTGTCATTGCGTTACGTGAGGTGACAGGTGATTTGATATCTGCAGAGGCCTGATTTAATCGTGTTAAGACAGGTCAACAGTTTTGACAAGTTTTATCCTTACACCATTGTCAGCTTAATTCTATCTAATCATGAACATGTTGAAATTAATGTACTGTACCTTTATAACAGGCGTCATTTAGACCATTAAATATTTCTTTTCCCCCCAAACTGAAAGGAACTGCAGCAGGTTTTGATCTGGTTTGGACTTAAATAGAGGACATTTATAGAAATCGTTTTATTATCTCTAGAATTTTTAGTCTTAAAACTTTTTGACTTGGCCTCAGACAACCACATTTTCCAGACAATCACTGACCGACTGAAACATAAATTCCTGCAGAAGGTAGTTGTTACTTGCAGCCCTTGTTGACCCACTGTTTTGATCTCAGACTGAAACTTGTCAACAAACACTGTATTGTTTGTGTTTAAAGGCCACTTGTGCCACACTGCAGCTCGGAGCTGTGCTCTGTGGGTCCTGACCTGATGGCTCCTGTTTATGAGACTCCTTCAGATAGTACAGGGCCTTCTGGAAGTCTCCCAGGTGGTAGTAGGCCACACCAGACCTGTACAGAGCTTTGAAGTTCTTCCCCTCCTTGTGCAGCACTTTTAAACAGTATTCCTTCACCCGCTCGTAGTTCACCAGCTCCATTTGCAGGAGACAGGCTGAAATAAGAGGATTAAGAAAAAAGATGTTACCAAAACATTGTTGCATAATCTACTGTAATGTCTGGATTTAATTACAGAGCAGCTATAATAGTGTGGTCCTTCTTGTACAACAACAAAGTACAATAGATCCTTTTGTCAAGACTTTTGTGTAGAATTAATAATATAATGAATGACTTCTCTGCCACTGGGTACAAAGAACACCTGCATAAGTGAGAATCAAAGGGATGGGGGACAGTGGAGTAAAACTAAGAGTGACTCACACACTGTCATGAATCATGCATGAGATTTAGAGTATTCTAACCTCTGTGTGTGTGTGTGTGTGTGTGTTCTCATTGTAAACACTGATCTAGTCAGGACCATACGCTGAAAACCAAATCCCAGGACTGATGTTAAGACCATTGATTGTGTGGCCTACAGGGACGATTTCTCAGGAAAAACAAATGGAGGACAGACCGATGTTGTTCACCTGTGCACATGTGTTTATAACAAGCGACAGTTCAAAAGCAGTGTTCTGCAGGTTCCGTACACCTCTATGGTAATGTAACGTTGCGTCAGTGTGAATGGAACTTCCGTCAACTACTTAAAATTTTTAGGAGACTGTTTAACTCCAAGTCACGTCAGAAATTCTGGCCTTGAGAATTGTTTTAACTTTAGTGTAAGGCAGTTATGCAGGTGCTTTAATTATCTTAAGGACAGAGCAGTGACTAATGGGTGCGTTACCCACAAATGAAGTGTTTGTGTGCGCGTGCATGCATGTGCCTACCGGCCAGGCTGTTGTAACACTCCAGCTCTGCATTCTCCATGGCCCCCTTCTGCTCATCTGTCAGTGTGGTGAACTTGCTGATGGTGGTGGGCAGGAGGCAGGACGGGGACTTGGAGCTGGGGTCCGGGTCTCCCAGCACCCTGCACAGCCCCTTGATCTCCAGCAGAGCGCGGTGGTACTTGCCGATCGCCTCCCGGTACTTCTTATCCTTGTAGCACTGTGTGCCCTGGCACTTGAAGTCCAGCGCCCGTCGCACGACGTCGGCTGGTTCGCAGTGGGATGGTTGTTTCCACATGGATCCTCCGAGGTTCTTCTGCTGCTGCAGCTGCAGCTGCTGCTGCTGGTGGTGGTAATATCTGGTGTCTTTGGTCCTGCTGTTGCTGTTGTTTGGAGGCTGTGCGCACTGCTGGAGCCTCGGGGATCCGCATCCACCGCCGCCACCACCGACGCTGCTGCTGCCGTCAGCGAAGCCTCCTCTGCCGCTGTCTACCCTGCCATCGATGCCAGCCTTCACCGCGCTCATTGTGACCGTATATAAATATATATATTTAAAAATCTATTCACCCTGTTGCCCGGCTCTTTGTCTGCTCTCCTCACAGCATCCTCTCTGACCGTCACAGACGCGTCTCTTCGCCTCGCCGTCGTGTCGCAGCTCCGTCCTCTCTGTGCGCAAGAGCCTGCGCGACGCGACGCGATGCGCGCGCTCCTCCGACGCTGTAGCCTCTGCTCGTGTTTGTCCTCATCCGACCAGCCGATTGGTCGATGACTACAAGCGACCTGGTCCCAGATGATTCATTTGACAGGAAGAGGAGAGGAGAACGTTTGATTTAATTATTAGTTACCAGTTCATTTACTCAGATGGTTTCTGGAAAACACGTGATGTCATTTTAATGCGTTTGATGTTGTAATGAGTTGATTTGGAGACATGGAATTATTGTAAGGTAGAGTAGGTAAAGTAGATAAAGTGTTGGTAGGTAGGGACTAAATTGGGGGGTTTAGGTGAGCAGGAGGGTGAGTTGGTAGAGAGTGTTAAGAATTGGGAAGGTAAGTAAGGTGGGAGAAATGTATGTTTGTAAACGTTATGGAAAGATACAGGTGGAATGGCTTGGTAGGCGGGTTCATTGGTAGGTTAGGAGGCTAGGGTTTGAAAGACAGGTAGAAGACTGAGAAGGAGATGTAGAGAATGGAGGAAGAAGAGGGGTATGTTGGTTTAAGAGTTATATAGATAGATAGTCATGTTATTGTCTCTATCAATGTCTCTTTAAAGGTTGACTCACAAGAGTGAAATTACAGTTAATGACTCATTCAGGGCCATCCAGGCATTTGCATTTCAAAAAATTCAATACCACTGTGAACAGATGAACTGCGTGGATCTTGTTCTGCAGCAGAGGAATACAGCCATCATGGCTCGCTCTTCTCTCTGCATCTGAATATTCCCCTGAGAGTCGTGTTCATCACAGATTGGAGGAGTGCAGTCATCTCCACTTAGATGAATCTGATCACCCTGCCTGTCTTTTCCCTGGACTGCTGGTTTACTGTGCAGCCAGCACAGTTTCAGACCATGACAGGCAGCAGTCTCTAATGACAGGCTATGATGTCACTCAAAACTCAGGGGCTATTCAGAGTGTAACGTTGTCAGACAACTCACTTCTCTGCCATAGTGTGAATAAATATTGCCTCTATATTACTGTATGTGACACTGGAGGATACAGAATGTGTGTGTATGTGTGTGTGCATGTGTCTGCATGAGGTCGTTCCTATACCATCTGTCCCGTCACACTCCAGGGCAGTGAGAGAACTCAGCTGTCTGGGTGTGTCTCTGGAATTTTAACTCTCTGGAGCAAAGGCTGATCAAAAATACAAACCCTGAACCATGAAAGCCATTAAATGTGACTGGCTTCATCCTGCCTGGGCTGTTATTAGCACTGCACTTGGTCGGAAAACTATTTAAGACATTTGTTCCTTTGAACTGAAGTTCATAAACAACACACTTAGGCTGTATAACGTCACATACAATGTTACCAAAATACATATGATACATATGATATTTGTCAACCATAGTTCAACCTTTTTAATGCAATTCCAAATGAATGTAAAGTATTTATACAGGTGTCTGAATTCTTTGAGTTCAAAGCGATTGTTGATTTAATGGTATGAAAAATACTTAAAATTTACATTAAGTGCTTAAAATGGTTAAACTTACAAATATATTACTTTTCACCTATTAAAGAGAGGACTATAGTCAGATACCAAAAACAAAAAGTACGTCTTAGTGCCACCAAAACATGCTATGATTAAAGAAATGAACAATGGTTACCAGATTATGTTTCCTAAAGGCAATATTATAACCATTTTAAGATTGTTATTGATATTAATAAATAAGTAACAAAATCTGATTCAAAATTAACGTTTACTAGTTCTTAGTACTTTTGTACTTAATCACTTACAACTATAATTTTACAATAAATTGCAAACTTAAAATTGACTTAAGCTTGAATTTCATTTTATTTTTTGTATTAATCTGTATTTCAATCAATTGAATTGTTATTTAATTGTTCGTTTTTTATCTAAATTTATAACCTGTACTCAGTTGAAGAAAATAACGATTACGCCATCAAACGCCGACCGATTACGATGATGACGTCATCAGAGTGAGACACTTTGTTGTCATTATGTCGGCGATAGATTTCAGAGGTAGAGTAACCGGTTGTTTATTTGATTTGTATCATACTCTCACATTTTCTATTTATATTTGTGTTTAAGTGAATTCTATATTTTATTATGATTTTTCTTTTGAGCTGTATCAACAGCTAATCTCAAATCCTGTCTCATAAGCTAACATTAGCAACGGTTAGCACCATCACTAATATCCGTCTACATTGTTTATATAAGTCTTTATTTAATGCTTACATTTACTTTACATAACTTTCATCAAATAAATCTAAGTAGATTTAATTTTTATCTATATTAAAAGCTCGGTGGTTGCTCGCCGTCTCTATTTAATCGCAAATCGTTAATTGTAAGAACTCTAACATTAAGTACTCAAATAATAATAATAATGGTGAGAATGATGCGGTTCTGTTTCTATCTTTTCTCGCGTTTTTTGTATTCTTATTTTCCTTTACGAGGAACACCTGGCATTTTTCTGTTTGACATGAGTAGTTGTTTTTCTTTGTAAATTGTTTCACATTGTAATTTCTAATTTACAGACAACCTTCTCGGGATTTCCTGGGTGGACAGTGGCTGGGTGCCCATTCTTAATCCTGGAAATGTACTCGACTATTTTTCTGAGAGAAGCAACCCTTTCTATGATCGTACCTGTAATAATGAGGTAGTGAAGATGCAGCGTCTCACTCTGGAGCACTTAAAGTAGGTTCATTGTATTATTATTTCCTTTTTTGTCTACATTATAGTTAATAAAGCACAATATGACTAGACAGATAGGGTACTGCTGTTGATCAATTTACAATAGTATTCATTTTCCCTTTTCTTTTGCTAGTCAGATGGTTGGAGTGGAGTATATTCTCCTTCATGCTCAGGAGCCAATTCTTTACATAATTCGTAAGCAACAGAGACAGTCACCAACACAGGGTAAGCAGTAAAACATGTTTTATAACAATTAAAAGAGACCAAATTCACAGTTTTGACAAGTTATAAAGGATCTTATTTTATTCTTCTTTTTTTAAAATAAGTGATACCTTTGGCTGACTACTACATCATAGCAGGAGTGGTGTATCAGGCTCCAGACCTGGGGACTGTCATCAGCTCTAGAGCGGTGAGGATGGAAAATATGAATTTGCATAATAATAAAGTCTATTCAAATGTCATTATCATGTATTATAAATGGTATGAAGGTGTATCAAAATTTCTTTTTCTTTAGTAAAATGCAAATTAATGGTATGAAGGTGTATCAACATTTCTTTTTCTTTAGTAAAATGCAAATTGTATGTCTTTAAGCTTTCTGCAGTTCATGGAATCCAGTCAGCATTTGATGAGGCCATGTCATATTGCCGCTACCACCCATCTAAAGGATACTGGTGGCACTTTAAGGACCAGGAGGAGAGAGGTCAGAGCTTTATCAAATTATACTACTATGGGATTGTCTATTAGCAAAATCACAAATATTAAGACCAAGTAGCTCAAGAGTTAGAGCAAACATGATCAGGCAACACTCATGTTACTTCTTTGTTTACTCTTTCTATTACAGAAAAAGTAAAGCCAAAGACAAAGAAAAAAGAAGAGCCCAGTTCATTGTTTCAGAGACATCGTGTAGACACACTGCTTTTGGACCTCAGGTCAAAATTTCCTCCAACATTTTATCAGGTATGGTCACATTTAAATGCTTTATTTGACATCATTTCTTTTTGTTGCTTTATAATTCACAATGTATAAATATTATCTTTATAAAATGTGATGATTCTACTAAACATTTTGTTGTTGTCCTAACAGCCCAAGCCTGGTGATAAACCCATTCCAGGTATGTACAATAAGTCACATCATGACCTCCTAATCCTTAAGTCGAATGACAGAACTTCTGTAACAACAACGCTTTCTTTTAATAACTGGCTATAATGTAATTTCTCATTTTTCAGTTGAGGTGAAAAAGGAACCTGAACCTCCAGCAGAAACTGTGAGACAAGAGGAGAGGGAACCTGCCACTAAATCCTCTGCCCCAGCTCCACCAAGTAAACCTCCTCCTGAGAAGAGAGCAAGGCTCCAGTGAAGAACACATCTGACACACTGTGAACATGGAGAAATATTGGAAGTCTTATTATACCCTTCCATTGTCTAATTTCTTTTGTTTCAGTTAAGATGAAAAAAGGAAAAAGATAATTCTCCAATTTGCTCATTTTATCTGTTTACAAGAACAAACCTGGTTTTCGTCAGTGACAGAACTACTTTTACGCTGTAACCATAGTTCTGTGAACTCATGACGTCTGGCATTGTTGGTCATTCGAGGCAGCTGCTCTTTAAACAGGTCAACCGTTTGATGTCAGCAGGCTTTTGTTTTGGATATTGATGATTAGCTGATCTCAGCTCCAGTGTCCAGTTACTGTTGACATCAGCCAATGTCTGTGATCAAGTGACTTCAGAGAACACTTCAAGTTCTTCTGGTCTTTACAAAGAATTGTCATAAAAGGCGTTATCTCATCTAAAGGGCAAATGTTATTTCAACACATTAGCAAACATTATAGTTGTAATAAATAAGCTTTCCTAAAATGTTTTTGTAATAAAAGGTATCAACCCTTGTAAACCTGTATGTGCTGTTATTTGACTTTTGTGCATTATTACTTCACTAATGTGTTTTTCTTTGTTTACTCATTAAAATGCTATCCACAGATAGTTAATTGAAGTTTATGTTGTTGAATTGTTCTACAATTGATATGAATAATGCAAAATAACTTGAATTTTAAATGTTAAATATAATTATTCTGGAGATATTGGTCAATTCAAAGGGATGCATTGGCTTAATATATTAAGTATTTTGGATTAAGAATCATGACAGATGAAATATTCTTTAAACAAATATTGAACTAATAGTTGGGTGCATTATTTATTTCAGTTGGGTAACGTCCAGTAGTATATTTTTCAATAATTAAAAGTATAACAATACATATTTTGTTCATCATTATTATAACTATTGTAACAAATGTCAATTCAATATGTTGTTGCAAAAAGTGCTCTCTTTGGATCAATTTTATAAAATTACACGTGCACTATTGACGTTTGTTTTGAGAAGCATCGTTAAGGGCATTATAAGTGTTGTATTATCTGCCGATATGATTTTAATATCTGTAGGAATCTTGTAAAGCTCTCGACATGTGATAGTATTTGTATAACGATTGAAGTTTAAAGATGTAGCAGATGTTTGCCAGCAGGTGTCGCCTTTAAGCTATATTTTTCCAATTACCCAATAACGTCGTTTTCTTGTATTTGTGCCTTATTTAAAACTGGGGCTTTATTTTTATTATTTAAGTCAAACCCATAATTCAACTATAATATGGATAATAATATAAGAATATTTATTCGAATATGTTTTGTTTATTCGTGGACAAGAACCGCTTCCGCACAGAAGCCACGAAGAAGAAGCTCGTCCTCGCAGGGCGTGGTGGGATTGGTGGTCTCCTATGTGGAGGACTAAGAACAGCGCCCCTGCTGGCGGGCTGCCTGCACGGTAGCAGTAGAATAAGAAGGAGAAGATGGCTGCAGCGGGGATTTTCAGGCCAGTGTCTGGAAACAGAGCGGCGTTTGTCATGTTCGGCGCACAGTAGCTGTTGTGTCACTGTCCCCCTCCGCCCGGTTGTCGCCACCGCCGCTGCTCGGTTCGGTAACGGGATTAAAAAAACACCATGGGGTCCCAGACTCTGCAAATCCTCCGGCAGGGGGTCTGGGCTTCAATCACAGGCGGATGGTACTACGACCCCGACCAGAACACGTTCGTCAACGCTTTACATCTGTATATCTGGCTCTTCCTGCTATGTTTCCCCTTCACTCTCTACATGGTAAGCTATGTTGTTGTTGGTTTCTCTGTTTTTCTCTCTTTAAAACCTTCATTAAGTCGATGTCTTTGTCGCAAACTGTTCCCCCAAGTTACCCAACACGGTGTCCGCTATCTCCTCTTAATATTAACGGTCCGCCTCTGTCTATTATGTGGAGCGGAGACAGTGTAATGTACATTTAAACTACACAGTTCATTGAGATCATCACACTGTAAGATTGATTGGTAATGTTTGAGCGCAGATAAAGGTTAAAGTATTGAACAGAACAATGTCTAGAAGCTCCCTCTGTGTGAACCATTGGACCCAGGGAGCTCTTTTGTCTATATTCAGTGTTTATCAGAACGTTAGGGCCATTAGCAGCAGATTAAACACACGCACAACCAGTGAATTTATTTCCCTGCCCCCCTCTCTCTCTGTCTTCACTCTCACTTATGTGTCTGTTTTCCTCCTTCACGGTTTTGATTTGAGATTTCAAACAAGAGCTCAAACAAGAGGAAGCCGGAGCAGCCACCAGCTGTGACTGTGAGAGCACAGCTGACAAGGACCTAACAGCAACCTGCTAGCATTTAATGTAGACCTTAAAAAAGACCACCGGCTGTTTGCCCTGGTTGTTTGTCCTAGGCGGACTTGTGTTTTCCGTAGGACCTGCTGTCTGTTTACTTTTGCCCTCTGAGCGTTCAAGAGGACACATACCAACAAATCCAGCACCTGTCCTTGTAAGGACACTGCAATGACTTTTGTACACCTGGGGAGTCGGACAAAAAGGAGACTCTTTTCGAGTGTGTCCTCTTTAGTTGACGTCTCAGTGGCACTCCATGTTATGGTTTTATGTTTTGGGATGAGACCAGTGCTCACTAGTACTGGTTGTAATTGTCAGTGTGTTGTGTTTTGCTCAGAGCATGTAACTGGATTGAAACCGATGCTTTCAGGATAAAATTCCACCTCCATACTAACTCTGCTACAGCCGATCCTTCCAAGATCACAGGACTGTAGTCGTGTCCAAATTCATTGGCTGCTGTCTAGTGTTCCGCAAGTGCTAGACAGCATCACATCGGGGGGTCTTGGCAAATTAGAATCACATTCTTTTACATAGTGATAGTGATAGTTTCTTCACCATTTGTCTTCTGCTGATCTGTCAAAAAACTCTCAGGAAACGCGGCTAATTCCCTTCCTCGAAGCTAGTATTAGAAGACCAGTACTGTTTTTTATGTATTAAATACATGCTCAGTGTTCAGTGGGTGTTTTGGCTCTCGACACATCGTCCCCCCTCACCCCAGTGACCCAACCAGGATTTAACCTGCCCCAACTTGTGTCTCAGTAGCACTTTTCCACGCTTCACTCCTCCTCAACCATAGCCCCCAGTGCTGTTTTTAACCACCTGCCTGATGTTGACTGTGTCTGTGTCTGTCTGGTCTCAGTGTTGTCATTTTGGTCGACCCAGGGATTCTGAGTTGTTTCTCTAAAGCAGCCATCAGCTGCCAGTCATGTGCCGTGGCTAAAAGTCATGTTGGTGCCTCCTGGTGGGGATGAATGTCGTGGTTGGCTTCTGAAAACCAAAGGAGCTGAGAATGTACCAGAGTTCCATATGAAAAACATACACACATACACACAAATATATATGTATACTGTATGTGTGTATAAATGTGTATTTATGTGTGTATACACGTATCAAAAGTAGCAGGAGGTCATAAACTGAGGAATTCTGAAACTTTCAAAAACCATGTCTTGAGTTTTCCGTTGACGACACTCAGACTCATACTGCCTGCTCTGTACACACCGTTGACCTCTGCTACAATGACGCTGCAGTTTAGGCTGCACCACAGTACGAGCAGTACACAGGTATTTTTGCAGTCAAGGTTTGTAAAATTGGAGCATGTGCTGTGGCTTTGTTTCCATGAAACTCATGTCTGGTTGACAAAGACCGCTGACCTTGGTTTGGGTACGAGCTCTGTACAAATACATGACCTGTAGCCAAAGAAGGAAGAATGTGTGAATTAAATAAACTTCTTATGAAATTAATAAAATAACACGTCAAAGCCGACATGGAGACGATTGACTCCCTAACTTCTTTTTATTATAAGAAACCTTGCATTGTGACCAGAGGTCAACTTGTTACATCTCCAAATCTAACCTTTAACCTCACCATAACTCCTGGTTTAGCCACACTGTCACCCAGATCCTCATTAATGAGGCTCTGCTTCATTAGGACCAGGCCTTAGTTCCCATGAGGGCTTCTGGTTCTGACTAGGTCACTGTGTGTAGGGGAGAACGGTCTCACACACACACACACACACACACACACACATACTGTTATCTGTCATCCAGATATTAGAGTTAGAATCTGTCCGTGAACGCGTGGCCGTTGTCCATTAGTAAACGTCCTGATGTTCGGCTCTACGTACAACCTTCTATATTAGGAACTTGATGTTTCATATCGGTCTGTGGTTTCTGATCTATTCCTGGAGTGGAAATATGTTGGTCAGGTCAGTGGTGTATATTGAGCCACTGGTTAGAGCTTTACTGCTGGAGTTCATTTTTTCTCCTGTTATTAACACTACACAGACGTGGAGACATTTTCTGAAGGTCAGCAGAAAGACACGGGAACTGTGATACCGCGCTTCAGTGGACATGCAAGTGTCTGTTTTTGTATGTGCAGTCGGACGGGTTATATTCATCACTGATTAATCAGCTGTTTCAGTTGTCTTTGGGGTTTGTTTTTGTTGTTGTTCAAACTCCACAAGAGCTGTTTTTGTTTTGTTTTGTTGTTGTTCAAACTCCACAAGCTCGAGCTCAAGTACTTGTTTTACAGCAATATGAATGAGACGAGCAGCTTCTCATTTCCCTCATTTTAATTTTAAATGGGTCATTAAGAAAATAGGCAAGTATTCTTCCTCAGCAAATTGAGCACCTAATTATTAGCACTTGATATATGGACCATCGTCGAGTGGAATGACCTTCACAGCTGCTTCCATAATCCATCAACCTGCACGTCTTCTTCCTTATGAAGAAAAAGTTAGAATTGAACCACAGACTTTAAGGTAAATGAATATCTCTAAGTCTGCAGGCTTAGGCACATTAAAAAAAATAAATCTCATTTCTTGCAAAAAACTTTTTTGGCCCATACTTTGACATCACTCCTGTACTGTACCTTTGTTTTTCTTCCACCCCCAAAAACAGTTTCCAATCCACACTGCATGCTCATTTTTTTCTTCCTCTCATTCCAGGCCCTGCCGCCGACCATGGTGATCGTAGGGATCTACTGTGGTGTGATCGCTGCCATGTTTGTGCTGCTGAAGACAGTGAACTACCGCCTCCACCATGCCCTGGATGAGGGGGAGGTGGTGGAGCACCAGGCGAAGGAGAGCCAGGGCAGCAGAGGCGGCACCGAGGGGGCCAGCGATGGAGGTGTCACCCGGAGGGAGGACAGTAACGGCCCCGGGTAAGTCCTGACAGGCTCATGACGAAGCAGACGCAGTTTTCTGAGTGGGAGTACGAAGGAAAAGGTAGAGGGCGGTAGAGTTTTGAACACTGAAGACATGGAGTTTGGTTGTAGAGTGAGTCGTGACGGTGGGAGGTGAGATTTAGGTAGCTGTTCTTTGGGGAGTGATAAGTTACTTTTTCAACCAGCAGGGGGTTTGAAGAAAACTTTGACTGACATTCTAAAGTGTTTGAACCGTTTGGTTTACCAATAAACAACATCAGAAATCATTATAGTCTGTAGATTTACCACCTCATAAGGCAGTGATCATCAACTGGCAGGCTGCCAGGCCCCGACTGGAGTCAAATAATAATCTTAGACAAAATCTTGTCGATGAATAATGTCATCGTTTGTGTGGCAAAAAGAAAATAAATGAAGTGAGAGAGGGTCAGGTTTTTAGAAGTGTTGGACGGTCATTATGATGTAATGTTTATATAATGAGCAACTGGTTTACGGCAGAGTAACGCTGTTACCAAATCTATCTTGACTACAGCAGAGACGTGAGGTCACATGTTTATTTAAATCCAAACAGCTTTTTTAAAAAGTTCTAGTGGAAACAGTTGGTTGTACTCCTCTGTCAGTGCATCCCCCAGGTCCTTCTTCAAATCTCCACTTCACTTATATCAATATAAAACCCTCACCCAAAAAATTATATATTCAACACAAAAAGGAAAGCATTTAATTGAATACGAAAAACAATATTATCTCTCTGGTTACTTTGGATCACATAATAATATTTTGTTTCCTCTTCAATTTTTTCAGTTTTTTAAATTAGGTGAGAACTGATGTTATGTTTGAAACTAAAAATTAAATATTTAGATTCTTAGATGTCAGTTTGATACTTGTTTTTTCTTTCTGTTCTTTTTGAAAAAAAAATGAAGCACATGTTGATTTTGAAGTGTGACCTCATTTATCTCTTAGACAAAGAGCTCTTTGTAAAATATGCACTAATTAATGGTTTGAATAATGAACGGCTTCATTAATAAGTGTGAAATGACCAGTTTTACTAAGGTAACGTCTGCACAGGGCAGGGATTAACAGAACAAATTAAAACTATTGCAAGCTGTTGATGTGAGAAGATAAAATGATCATCATTTATTTCTCTAACTCATCCTCAACCATCCTTGGCCAGGACTCAAACCGGTGACCTTCTTGCTAAGAGGCAAACAGATTTAACTTCATCTGTTTCCATAAAACCCAAACTGCAGACCACAGCATTATACAGTGTCTAAGCCTTAAATGCCAGTCTGCTGGTTTTTTATAGTTCAGCTCTTATTCAGATGGAAGCAGAGCCGGTGAGGTTTCACTGTTTTACTACCCATGACTTGGGAAAAAAAGGTGACTCACACTCACATTCCAAAGGGAGCTCTTGGTAGGACGCTGGGAAAAGGCAGGGAAAAAAGCGAGACCTCTGCACCACAGGAGCAGTCACAGCACATCTGGACTTCCATTCCAGGTTGAGATGAGAAGATGTTGATTGTGATGTTTAACCGTCACCACCTACGACTTTTGTTCTTCTCCCTCAGTCATCCAGGCCACGTGACCTGCTGTGTTTGTGTTTTTATCAAATATTCTGGACATCTGGACTTGATTCATACACAGTTGCTGGCACGTCACTGGGTTTGACATACCAGCCTGTTAGGCAAGCACATCGGGGATAAACAAAACATTTGAAGAAGCTGTGCTCGGGGTTTTGCAAGAGTTGAGAGATTGTTTAGAGAAACTTCATCGTGTTCTTTTTCTTACAGAGAGATGTAGCAAAGGAAGGATGCAGCGAATAGCATGGTTCTCAAATAGTAGGTCGTGACCTCATCATTTTGGGATTGGATAATGCTACTTTGACACAAACCCTACATTTTTGGCATCAAACCCATGGTATTGCGGCCCATCTGCCTCTGTCCAAGGCCTGGAACTTGCATTCCAGCCCATCTGCCTCTGTCCAAGGCCTGGAGATTATCTAATCCAGGAGGGATTAGATAATCTTTTAAATTATTGTTTGCGTTGCCCACATATACTGCGTTGATCTCATCATGTTTAGTGCAAGTAGTTTAGTCTGTTGTCAAGAATCAAGAATTCTCTTTTGTTATTTATTTATTTAAGTTTATAATCTGTTTCTAATTTTATTTGAATGGGCCTGTTTTATGCTGGAAAAGGTCAAAAAGGTTAAGAAGAACTGCACTAACAAAGTGTGTACTGTAGATATGGGGGAAGATGATGACATTGTGAGTAGCAGCAGGTTCATTAAGAATGACGGGCGTTAACCAGAAACCTCAAACAGAACACATCATGAGAAGAGTGGCCTCATTCCCACCAGCCATGCACAGGGTGTTAGGTTTGATGCCAGCCGTTTCGTAATTCCAGATTGGGAACTAGGTTGCGTCAGGGCATCCGCCGTACAAACTGTGCCAAACCATCTGTGGCAACTGCTGTGACGGGACGAGCCCGCAGAGATCCTCCATCTTTGTTCATCACTTGTACTCCATCCTGGGGCTTCCTCTGGTCTCAGGCTCATTCAGCAGCTGTTTCCACTGTGGTGTTTACACAGATCTAACCTGATGACCTCAAATGATGACCTCTGTATTAGATCAGAATATCTCTAACGGTTTGTAATCGAATAAGGCTACTCTATGCTAGAGTGCAGAGAAGGAGCCTTGGCTGGACGCTCCTCTTGTGATACCTAAACCTGTTTCTAATAACGGTGTGTTTGTGTGTGTGTGTGTGCTCATGTGTGTTCAGTGACCCTGGAGGGGGCATCGAGATGGCAGACTTCATCAGGCAGGAGACTCCGCCGGTGGACTGCAGTTCCAGGAACTCCTATATTGGCATGGAGTTGAACCAGCAAGTGAGTACGACACTGGTCTCCTCTCCTACATTTTTAGGCAGAGCCTGAAAATATGTCATTGTAACTTGACTCTGATTTAAAACAGCCAGCCAATCAGAAACCCATTGAACTGCTGGTTGTGGACTCTGACTGTATTTATCCTGTCTTTGTTCTGTGTAATTTAACGGTTTAGTCCGTCTCCTCTAAGTGTGAGCTCCTGTTATGTTGTGATGCTTTGATACTGAAATACACCCTGTGTAACAGCAGTGTGTGCAAACACAAGTGGTGATTGTTGTCCTCAACAGAACGCGTTGTTACTGAAGTCGGTTAACTTTTACTAACTAGTATTTGATATAGTTATCTTCCTTATCTTTTTTTGGTTCTCTTTCAGCTACATGGTTAGCAGTTGAAACAGCCTTTTCCCTTAATCCCTTGAACTTTGCTTTGACTATCGTAGTACTTTAGTATTTTTACCATTTCTATAATATTATTGATTTTCAAATTAGAAGATCTTCACCAATTTCTCTATCATTTTACATCATCTTCTGGCTCACTTTTAGCAGTTCTATGGAAGCTTCATGTGTTTCTTCACATTCTCTAGACAGTGTGACCTCATTTTAACCTCCCTTTCTTTTCATCAAGTATTCCACTGATGTTTCCACGTGACAACTGTTCAGTCAAACTTAGGCAACACATGACTGTTGTTATTCTTCTGGTGCGCTGACATCACAGCTCACTGTGACACAGCTAACGGACAAACTCCGAGCTACAGAGTTTGCCAGCCTGTGTCCTGTGTCACTGTCGCAGGGAGCTGTGGTTCCTGCACATGTTCTGTGTGTTTTTAATTAATGACGTATCTCACTGTCAGCATTGTTCTCCTTCACTGTTCAGAGTTATTGAGCGGCTTTTATGTGGAGAGATAAATTTAACCTGTGAATCCTCACGGGTGCAGCGACTTTGTGCTGCTAGTCTCAGAGTCGCCAAAGTGACAACACGTTCTGCTCAGCTGTGTTCTGTGTGCTAATGAGAGAGACGTCATGACTCTCCTCTCTGGTGTTTGATTCTGTGATGTCTACACTCGCTTTCTGTCCAACATTTTGATCGATTTCAGCGACATATTTTTGTGCCTGGACCAAAGATGTTCAAACTCAAACTTCTTGTTTTCTTGGTTTGCTAACTCTCTAGGTGTCAGCCACCCATGGAAGAGCAACAGTTGCCAAAGGTAACTCCTTTATACATGTATTTCTTTTTGACCATATAAAGCCTCCTTTTCCATCACAGTCTGACAATGAAGTGCACTCAGAATCACAGCATCTCTTATCACGATCAGTGGTGCTGTGACCTCAACGGTCTTGAAAAGATGTCTCTGACAGGCACTGCTGAGCATGATGGGAAAAAAGTAATACACTGTAAGGCGCAGCATGGGAGTAATTCTCCAAGAACTGTTTATTGGAAAGACAATAACTAAAGCAGAGCTTTGTGCAGAGCTGAAATGAGTATTAGTTTGAGGCGACTGCATGTCTGAATAATTCAGCAGGTTCACTAAATGGCTGATTGTTGGACTTGGTTCATAATTGGACAGGAGCTGTCAGACTTAAGCTTTTTAATAGTTTTCTCATATTGTGTCCCTTGTATCGAGTGTCTTTTATAACCTCCAGGTACAATTATCCTCCTGCTGTGGATGTTGAAATGAAACCCAAACAACTCCCTTTTGTCCACGTAAAATGTCTGCGTCACGATCACATCAGACCCTGTATCCTGGGAGGCAGTGACAAGGTGTCCTCTGCTAACTGCTTTCTTCTTCCTTCCACAGGAGACGCTACCAAGACCTCAGATGACATCAGTTTGACTCTTGTTGAGAGCTGTAGTCATGACCATGGTAAACAGAGCTATCGTTTTAGTCACATATCAAACATCAGGCTGTGTGTTTCAACGCTTTTCTAACCGTTGGTTTTCCTGTTGTCCGTTCAGATCTTCTGTCCGATGCCAAGATGTACTGCCTTGTCCCCAATGACTCCTTCGCCTCCTTGCAGCCGTCGACCTCCTTGTGTCCTTCGGAGCTGTCCAGGGAACCTGCTGATGTTTTTAACTCTGCTGCTTATCACTTCAGCCTGTCACACTCCTGCTGTGACACAGACGTGACCAGTCACGCATCCATGCAATCTCAGACATTTAAGAAAGAGCTCCGATCCCGGGGCCTACCTCGGACCTCTAGCTCGGCAGGGTCCGCTTTCCCTGACCCGTCCTTACCAGACTTTGGTTTGTACCCTCCTCCCAGGAGAGGTGGCCTTGATCCTGTGTGTGAGCTGGAGACTGCCAGACCACAGCGGTCAGGGTTGTGTGAGAGGGGGGGTGCCGAGCGGCCGTACCAGCAGGACCAAGCTGTGGCGTCCACCTCTGGAATTGAGTGCTACAGGCACAAAGAGCAGCGTAGAGTCGCTCGCTCAGCCTCCAGAGAAGCGGGGGAAGGTAGCTCAGGACTGTACCAAGTGGATGTAGGTGCCGGTGGGAAAGGCTCCAATGGTGGAAAAAAGTCCCAGGGAGGAGAACGCAGTGCTGACAGCCTGAGGAGCCTGAGTACTCGCAGTAGTGGCTCCACTGAGAGCTACTGCAGTGGCACAGACAGGGACACCAACAGCACTGTCAGCAGTTTTCACAGCGAGCAGACCAGCTCCACACATGTGGAGAGCCTGCTCTCACTTTCAGGGGACGAACGCTTACGGAACCGAGGAGATGCTGCAGCTGCTCCTGCAGAGGGCAGGACGACGAGCCTCAGCAGCACCAGCTCTCGAGGTCTCAGCAACCTCACTTCTAGGGAGGCCAATAAAAACCCTCATGCCAATGAGTTGACTGCTAAACAACCTGCTGACATGCCGTCAGCTGCGGTCCAGGAGCTGGCGGACCCCGGTCGAGGCCAGGACGAGCCTGGAGTCCGGACCAGTGCAGATGGCTCAACAGATGTAGCTGCGACAGAGCGAGAGTGCGAAAAGTCGGACGCTCAACCAAAGTCGGCCAACAATGTTCAGAGGACGTCTTCTCTGTCAACAGGACGTAGCGGGCGGCGGCGGTCTGGCAAGAAAAGGGCGAGCAGCTTTGACGCCAGCCGTCACCGGGACTACATGTCCATGCGTGGCATGGCCAAGCCTTCAAGTGCTGTGTTTACGGGTGGTGGAGAGGAGGACTCCAGTGATCAGAGTGAACTCAGCTGTGCCTCCAGTCTTCACTCCACCCACCACCTGAGCACAGACAGCTCATCGAGCAACACCTCGCGCACCTGTCACTCACCTGAGGCCCGCTTCAGGGCGCTGAAGACGAAGCACACGGCAGCCGGCGCAGCCTCCTCCTCCTCTTCGGCAGGTAAAGCTGTGGTGGGGCTGGAGGTCGGAGCTCGGAGCGGAGGAAAGAGACGCGTCTCCCGCCGTACTCCCAGCACGGGCAGTGCCAAAACACATGCCAGAGTGTTGAGTTTGGACAGTGGGACGGCCGCCTGCCTTAATGATCCCAGCCGCTTAGGAGCTCCAGCTGGGCCCCGGCCTCTCACCACCTCCAAGTCAGACCTGGAAGCCAAAGAAGGGGAAGTCCTGGATGCAGCGTCCCTGCTGGGTCGGGCCTCCCAGCTGGAGTCAGTGACCCGCTCCAGAAACAGTCTGCCCAACCAGGCAGCTTTCACTGAGCCTCAGGACGCCTGTGCTGCTCCCCTGCGGAGTGAGTACCACTCACAGCACTCTGACATACTGCTCACACTGCATCCTCTCTGCTTCACTGCTGCTGTTTGATGACAAGTCCACACTGTGTCTTGTTGTTGAGGTGAATCAATGGAAAGGATGCATTAGACGCCGACTCAGCACTTAGATCTATAGTTAATTACACATTTTTATGTCATAATTTGGCCTTTTGAAGAATAGAGTTACTGACTTTCATGTCTGAACATGTTTAGAACCATTAAAAACAGGACGTAGCATTGTTCCATTAGCTTAGCAAAGACATGCTAGGTATTATTTTAAGAAAATATCGACGTGTTGCAGGACATAATTTTTAATTATTATAATTAAAAATTCACATTGTGTGTTGAGTTTAGAAATGTTATCTCCATGGCTCCACAGATGTGCAGGTGCTCAGCCAACACAACCTTCCTTCTCTGTACGTGTCCTGATTAGCACTTAGCTCAAATGTCAGTCACATGGTGCAGTCCTTAGTCTTTGATTAATTTAATCTAAAAGCTTAGTGTGTTTTTTTTAGAACAGCACTTTATCACCTCCTGCTAACCAAATACTCAACTACCTGCTCTATGTTTGTACTAAAAAAGCACACCAAGATTTCTACTCCTATTTTCTGGACGTTTAGCCCAGTTGTTACATCTCCAAGCTTTTTGAAGCCCTTGTTTTGAAGTGTAGCTGTTGACTTAATCCATTGATTTATCTGTAGAAGTTTAGCTCTCGGCGGGTCTCTGTAAAAACAGCATGTTCTGGCAGTGTTTTGATCCTGCTGCGTTCACTGTGACCATGGTGATTTTCCACGAAGTGACAATCTGGGCCAAATCAGTGTGTTCCCTTCATAGATCACTATTAACCTGATGACACGGTGTGTGTGTGTGTGTTGTGCTGAGGATAGACAAACAGCCGCTCTCCCATTAGTGCCTAACACAGCCGCTCTCCGTACACCGCTCCTCCGACACGTTCTTCCGACCTGTTGAAAAACATCTCGTATTTTTTGACTGCTTGTCTGTTTATTTTTCAGTGTTTTGGCTTCGGTGTTTGGTTTTATGCTCTCGCTGCTCCTTCCACAGTGCACAGCCCCCGGGTGTGTACAATATTAGGAGCAGGATATGTCTGAACGTGGCAGCTGTTTATGAGAAACATCCCATAATTAGTCATTTATCTTCAGTGAATCACACCTTGGCCAATATAATCTTCATTACAGGAGTGTGAGCCAGTGGCTGCAGGTCACAGGTGTGTGTTCTCACTGAGATGAACACTTTGTGTTGCTTTATTTGCTGCGTTTGACTTCAGTGTCTTTTTTACGAAATAATACAAACAAACATATATCTCTCTTTTTCCACTTTGGTTTCATGGCCTTAGTCTCTCAAGACGTTTAGGGACCAGTGATCGTTCTGACAGCCAGTTTTCATTCAGTCAGAGTCTTGTGACTGAATGTGAGATGTGCATTACAGCCTGGCTCTTTCTTTTAATCTGCAAAATGTTGCTCCAACTTTTTTACAGAAATCAGTTTTCACATCTCATGTCCTGAGATTATAAAGAAGGAGATTATCAGCCACTTTTGACCCTTGTCTGAATGATTCAATATTTCAACAGGTTGATGGTACGACATACAGTATTTATAGTTGATTATATTATATACATATATAGTATTTTATACCTGATTAAACTGGTACCCAGAACTTTCTGTATCTATTTTACCTCTTGTTTCCTTTTGCCTACAGTGGGTGATTGCATATCCTGTAAAAGTTCCATTAGGATTCTACCAAGGAATTCCCTGTTAAGTTGCTAGATTAATATTTTTAACAATAAAAAAACTCCTCTCTGACGTGGATCAGGTCAGAACAGCTGTATTGCTATATTCATTTTTTTAATAATAGAAAACTCCTCCCTGACGTGGATCAGGTCAGAACAGCTGTCCTGACAAAGAGTCTGACTGTTGTTTTCAACCTGAAAGGGAGATAAGTAATGACAGTGACAGACGTGGTTAGCACACGTCATACAGCGAGAAGGTTGTTGGTTTGAGACCCATCCCTTGCCTGTACAGTTCCAACAATCCAAAACCCTGGGACATTAGGTTGACTGGACACTCAAACCAACCTGTCACAAGTGTTATTTGCCCCTCCCTCCTCTGTGACCTTGAGAAAGGTTACTCAGGAGTAGATCAATTCAATTCTGTTCTGTAAAGTAACGGCTCTAAACCTGAGACCAGCTAGACCTATTTGAAGTAACTGATAGTTTTGTTCAGCAGCCCTAAAGAAGACCTGCCGTGAAGGGAGGTCCAAAGGGAAGTACAGGACCTTGTAGTGTAGTGTAGTGGACCTTAAGAACTTTTGCCTCCCAAGGTTGATCCTACTGTAGAAAAAAAGAACTTTGATCGATCGATTTATGGTGAAGTTTATGAAAGATAAAGGACTGATTTGTATTTGATTTATTTCCTGCAGTGGAAATGAAGGAACTTTTTGACTCCCTTGGAAGTTTTTTTTTTTTTTTCCTGAAGACACAGACGTAGTCGCTGGCACTGTGTCTTCTTGTTGTTGTTACAGGATGTAGTTTTCTTGCTGTATTTTCTGCTGTCACTCCTTGCTGGGTCTTCTAACAGTACTACACTGAGTTGTCATAGAAATATTAAACCCACAGACTCACTGGCCAATCATCTCTCTCCCTGAACAGCCCCAGGGAGCGAGGAGACGGTGGTTTTCCGGCGTGAGCGTAGCACGTTTCGTCGCCAGGCAGTTCGGCGACGGCACAACGCAGGGAGTAACCCCACTCCTCCCACCTCACTGATTGGATCTCCTCTCAGGTACGCCATGCATGGACTCCTCTGCCTGTGTGTTGCCTGGTATTGGCATGTTGCCAGGTGGCGCTCTTTTCCTGCTTCACGTCAACACCTCCCGCTTTTCATGACACCAGTCCAAGTTTGCATCTGGGCGTCTCCGCTCTGCGTGTGATGTCTTTGATTCTCCTGCTCTTCTTCAGACCTCCCCACTCTTCTCATCCTGTTATCACACAGTCTAATCTCATCAACTCCTCATTTTGGGCGTGGATCAAAGAATGGAGTTCTTTCAGATTCAGAAGCACTGACTAATCCACTTGTCCTCTCGGAGCTGTGCATGATTCACTCAGTAACGCTGACGTCCCGCCGCATCAAATTGCTTTGCCCTCTTTAGCAAACGTTCTGAAGAGACAGATGAAGACCTTTTTTAAAATGAAAGGTTGAAGTCTGCCGTCTGGAGCCACAGGAATTTACTGAGTTGATGTCAGAGTCTTGAGAAGCTGTTTCTCAGTTTTGAACTTCCTGCCTGAATACCTAATGCCTTAGCACATCAGTGTTCTTTCATCCAGATGTTTCCCTCTCAAAGCCCTTTTCTAAACGTTATGTTGACTCTCAATCCTCTTTGGATCGAGCATTTAACCTTTTGTCATTTAAGACCGCAGTAACTCCGCAGTAAGCCCGATTGATCACGGCGCTGCAGAGCACATCAAACCAACCGTCACTCCTGACGTGGCCTCATTAAAAAAGATCTGGCCATAAATGGAAGCCCACAGGAAACCGCGGGCTGTAATAAAAACATGTGAAGCTGTAGGGCTCACTGTTTGTTCCACTGCTCTGATGCTGTGGGTGTACAGTAGATGTGCTTCCACCTAGACTGGGTCAGCGCCTCCTCTTCTCTTGTACAACTGCCAACAGTCATTTCACCTGCAGCCAAGGTGCCAGCGTTCTCTGTGTGTACCTCACAAAGACATGGAGTAAATCCTCAGCCTTGGCCTTGGCAGCGTTTGGCAAGAAAAACAGACATGATGAAAGCCAGGGGGCGATAAATGAGCAAATTTGATTCTGCATCTCCTCATCTCTGTTCCCGTTTGGCATGTTTTTACTGTCTGTGTTCGTTTGACCTTCTCGCTGCACCACTGAGTGTCAGAAACTTTGTTTGACACTTTGTTGAATTGATGTATAGAGTACAGCATCTAGTAATACTACATGTCTGTTGTTAGTACCATGAACCCATGGACGTTTACATGCAGAGGTTTAAAGCGTCAACACCAAAAGCCCTATTTTTTTGTAGCATTTACGAAAAAAACCTGGATGTGCTTACTGAATATTTAATGTGTGGACTTCACTCTGTCTGAGTCTGAAAAGTCTCATCCTTGTCTGCTGTCGTCACGGCACAGAAGGAAGTTCTGCAGTGTGTTAAAAGTAGATTTAATTTCCTGTTTTCGCAGAACAAGTACTAGCAGTCGGTTTGAACAGTTATAGGATCGATGGTGATCAAGTACTAGCAGTCGATTTGAACAGTTATAGGATCGATGGTGATCAATGGTAACAAATACGATCACACTTGAGTTTTCTCAGTACATCTTTGTCAGTGTTGAGCAGTGTTACTGTTGAATAAATATGAGCCTTTTTTTTACCAACTTAAATCCTTCACATTTGGTTTTGATCCAGCTCCATCTCATTTTGTCAAGACAACTTATCAGGAACTGGAGTTCAGTCGTTCAGTCAGATTTTTTTTTAAGGAAGCAGATTGTGGTGTCAAAGACTGTCCACAGAAAACTACAACAAAGACATTCTCAGAAGGTTTAGAGGAAGTTATTGATCTAATATTCATCTGGTCTTTCCATAATATAATATAGATTCATAAAAAAACATGTATTTTTATTTAAACATTTTGACCCACATTTCTGCCAATGACTGTTGAGGGTTTACCTTACTGCGACATGTTTTTGGTTTTCAAGGTCAGCACCTAAAACCAAAGGCCTTAAGATGTAGTAGATGTAGTACAACACACTTGCATCCACCTGTCAGGGATGATTTGTGAGAAAAGGATAACGTGAACATTTTGTTCTTAGCAACATGAATGCATCACAAGTCATTATTTTGAGACCTTTGTATAATTATATATATATAATGATATAAACAATGTAAATCACTTTTATGACAAAATAATATTTACAGACAAAATTGTTAGAAACATTTCTAATTGTATGCGTACCAGTTCCTCCACCGTGGTTTTTACCACAAAATTGTTAGAAACATTTCTAATGTATGCGTACCAGTTCCTCCACCGTGGCATCTGTGTGTTCGTCGTTCCTCCTGATATCCCTCCATCATGTTTGTAGTTGGCCGCCCACTCTCTGTGCCGGTGAACAGTAACATCAACAGTTCCACGCCCACTCTGGCCGCCTCCTCTTCTCACCTCCTCCCCTTCTCCCTTCTCCTCCAACAGTCTTCAGGAGGCGCTCAGCCAGGCCTCCCAGCCTTCTACTTCCCAAGTGAAAAGTCAGCCATCCAGAACCTCGTCTCAGGTGACTGTGCTGAGCACAAGCGCCTCCCTGCTGGCCAGGAATGGAAGCACACACCTGGAGGGCTCTCAGGACAAGGCCTCTACCGTCGGCGCTACCAGCTTGCAGGATGATTTTGGTATGAAGCTCATGAACAGAGCTGACGAATGGAGGTTTCTGACAGAAGAGTGTCGTGGCGTTGGTTCATCTGGGGACGGGGGGGTCGGGGGGGTGGAACTTTAAAACGTGTTGTCCTGGTTCTGTGTTCTTTGGTGATTCGTTCCGTATCGCTGGGATAAAAAGAGCCGGGTACAGATATGATTGTTCCACTTTGTCTGTCTGATGAAATGAGTCAACGCTCAGTATAATTATCCATGCTCCATTTATCTCCGTCTCCAACGTTGTGTCAACAGCCAGCACTTGACCTGACTTGGTTGTGGATGTTGCCTTTTAGTCACAGTGTGTTCACTCTGCTCCCTGCCTGGTGTTCAGTCGTTACAGCAGTAAAGATGTCTTGTTGAGTGTCCCAGAACGTGGATAAAGTGTAGCGTCGGAGAGTTACAGTTACTTCCTACCTCGTCATAGACCCTGATGATTGTGAGACCAAAACCATCGCAGGATATTTTATTTTGGTTTTGTTCAAGTATTTCTGTGTGTTTAAAATCAAATCATTACAATGTAAAGCTTGCGTTACAGTTGCCACTGTTTTATACAGTACAAAGAGGTGAGTTACACTCACGTCGCCCTCTCCTGGTGGCTGTAGTGTACACAAACAAAGCTTTAAACCTTTCGTTTATAACCTTTAGTCCCATTTCTAAACATCGGTTGTCAGGTTTGGTGAAAATGTCCAGTTCCAGAGAGTCTTTGAGTGAATAACTGGTGGAGGAAACGTCTCCTCTCTGCTGCTGGTCTGGGGTCAGTGAGTTGCAGTAGAGATCTCAGGTGTTCTTCACATCATCCTTGTGTAGATTGTTTTCAGTTACTCACTCACTAACACACACACACACACACACACACACACAGCTGACTGGTAGATCAGTAGTACACAGTCAAGAATCAAAATAACTCCTAGTCCAGAAATAGAACGGAAATTCCTGATGGAGTACAGCTGCAGTGGCCTCCAGCGTGTGGAGCCTTTATTTATATGTACATCATCAACATGACTGGTTTGTTTCAGAGCTGTTCAGGTTACAGTGGAGTGACAGAGTTTTCTGACAAACGTGCAAAGTTTTTAACTAGTCTTTGAACTGACAGAAGAGCACGGTAATAAACACCCATGTAGTGGGGACTGGCCACACATTTTTTGAGACACACATTTTGCCAAGTCTTGGTCTTCTGTCTTGTTTTGTACTGTTGGATGTCTGAGAGGTTGGACATTATCTCAGCGGTGTAAAATGTTCCAATTGACCAGTGAAAATAACCAGTTGAAAAAAAAGTTCTTTTTCATTTCACAGCCAGGACTGTGATTAGAAAGAAGATGGCAGCGGTCTGAACCTTCACATATCTTTATTTCTGCCCACTTAAATCTTAGAAATGATGTGAATTTTTCATCATATGCCAGAGGTTTGGGAGAAAAGTATAATTTGAATATGTTCCCTCTCATTATGTCAGAGATGCAGTGTAGGATTGGCTCACTGTCATGTAGCTGTCACGTTCAAATCCCCCTTCCACGCCTCCTCTTCTCAATGTCAAGTTAGATATTCTAGAAAAATACAGTGAAGGGAAAAAGTGTTGACCTTTCAGAGTCAAACAAAAGATGGCTGAGGTGTTTATCCGCTCTCTGGAGTTATATTATATTATTTATTGATTTTCCTTCACAGGAAATCTGTTTTACCAGAGAGTCCAGACCAGTGGAGCAGCCAATCAAAACACATTTACACAATAATCCACAGTTTCCCAAAAAATCGGTCACTGTTCTGTCATCACATTGTCTGTTGTGCCTTTAGATTCACGTAGTGTTTGGGGTTTTTTTTTAGTTCTTGTTTTCTTGTTTTTTAATCTGCGTGCTGCTTATTGTGCTGGTTTTCCAAGATATGCAATGATCTTAGTGTTTCTGCGTGCTGCGTATTGTGCCGATTTTCCAAGATATGCAATGATCTTAGTGCAGTGGTTCCCAAAGTAGGGGGTGGGTCCCCCAGGTGGTGCAAAGCTCTTGCAGGCAGGCCACAGCAGGTCAAATTATTTTCAGTTTCTATATTCTTGAATCGAATGACAGTGTTGTAAATAAAGTTCAGTAGAATTTTGTTGCACAATAGTCCTACCTACCAACAGGGGGCACTGCTGCAGGAAGGAGAGAAACTTAAACATTGCTAGAACAGTAGAGCTGTATCTACAGTAGAGATGAACTCATCCTGGTACTGCAGTCATCTAACATCTAACACTGTATTTTTCTGTTGTGTTTGCTGTTTGTTTTTCTCCAGGAAAACTCACTCCCTCGTTGTATGAAGCAGGTGGATGTGACATGTCCTTGGTCAATTTTGAACCTGCAACCAGACGAGCCTCCAATAATGTATGGTTAGTGTTCAGCCTGTGACGGTCCAGGCTGTTTAATGTAATAAGAGACGATATCCAGATTGAAAACCCTACTGCTATCATTACCCACAACCTCACCCCGACGTATCACTTCCACCTCCCCCTCTACGTAGCCGCTCCCTCTCGTCTCTCCTCCATCATCTTGACTTTCCCCTCCGCCCGTCTCAGCAACATCAGCTCACTGCCACCAATCTGTTGAAACATGTGTTTATATTTAAATCTGATGATTACGTCAACTGTTTGTCTGTGTTGCTGCTTTATTCATTGAAGGGAAGTGAACTCCTTGTCACTGTGACACAGTTCACCACTGCACACAACCAACTGTGACCTCTGCTTTTAACCCATCACCAAAGTGAACAGTGGGCAGCTTTAAGGACCAGGGGAGCAGTGTGTGGGGACGATGCCCTGCTCACAGCACCTCAGTGGTAACTTGGCAGCTGGTGGACTCAAACCTGAACCCTTCCAGACCCAAGTCCACTTCCTTCACCACTAATCCACTGCCCCTGCCAATTTGAACAAACTCCAAAGACCTTCATTATTCTGACTGTGTGTGAATGTTATTGATTGTAGTATAAATGGAATTCGTTAGACATGACCTAAAACACAAGTTTCCTACTCTGTTCTAAAACACAGATGGAAAAAAATAGTGACAAAAATAAGAAACATAGGCTGTAGGATTCTAGGCAACCTGGTAAATAGGTGGAAAAGCATTAACAGAATGAACCCATCAACAACCTTCTGCTGACGTGTGTTCTCCTTGTTTCTCTGCAGGGACACTGACTCCCACCTCTCCAGTTCTACCTCAGTTCGCTTCTATCCTCATGACCTGGTGAGTGTCCAACCGGTCAGACCACAATTATTTTCTTCCTTTTTTTTGTTTCGACACATCATGAGTGTCTCACTCTCTCCCTCAGATCCGTCTGAACCGTCTCCTGACCATGGACCCAGAGCTGCTGGAGCAGCAGGATGGAGATCTGAGCCCAGAGCTCCAGGACGCTCCCCTGGCTCAGGACGACCCTGTCGCCGCCTCCGCAGCAGACAAGGCTCGTCAGTACTACCGCCTGTGGCTTCTGCCTTACATGTGGGTCGGCCTGCACTTCGACCGGCTCACCCTGCTGGCGCTGTTTGACAGGTACATGAACAGTTCTCTGTCGTCTTGGAACAGTATTTCTCCTCTTGAGGCAGGCGTCAGTCAGGATTTTTTAGCATTTAGCTCATCGCAAATGCAGCTGCAGGACGTCTGACTGGCTCCAAGCAGAACGAGTATCTCAGCAGGAGAAACAGAATTGATTTTCATCTCCTCGACAGATATTTCCATGCCTATAAATCAAAGATCTGAAGCGGCTCATGCTCCATCTTCCTACTGCCTCTCAGTCACACTGAGCCATTACTTTATTTTTCTCTTAGAAACCGATGACTGATCATTTATTTAGGAGTCCCACCAGTCTCTGAAACATTTCCTTCTTGTTGGATTATCTGCCGTTTAATCTCCAGTGTGTGGTGCTGTGTTTACCTACAGACACTCTGCCCTCTGTCTGCATTTTCAATATTCTCTCTCTCCTGTAGGTGGAAGTAATGTGCATGAAAAGATGCAGAACTTTGGTTTGATGGTTGGGGGGAGGGGTGGGATCAGCTCCCACTGGATTAGAAGAAAAAATGTTTGTATTTGAATCATTGGCAAAAAAAAAGGTTTTCTCACTGTATATCAAGAAAAACTGGTAATTTGATGAATGTCTAGACCTCAAACTGGGGTGGTAGGGGAGCGCTCTCTAGTGGTACGTGAGGAAAATTCATATTTTCACATTTACATTTTCAATTGAATAAATCTTCCCCGCCCCATTATTACATTTAAACATAAACATCTTTACAATTATTACATTTAAACATAAACATCTTTCTAAACATCTCTGACTGTTTAGAAATGTCTAGACATTTTTGAGGCAACACTCTGACTGAAATGTCTAGACATTTTTGAGGCAACACCTGCTGGTCATCTTAGGCACTGCAGTAGGCACTAAGTATTGAAACGCCTGTTTCTGTCTTGCCTGTTTTACTTGTAGCACTGGTAGACATGTTTGAAACCTCACCTCACAGACACACTGTTGTTCCAGGAACCGTGAGGTTCTGGAGAACATACTGTCCGTCATGTTGGCCATCATGGTGGCCTTCCTGGGCTCCCTGCTGCTGGTCCAAGGCTTCTTCACTGACATCTGGGTATTTCAGTTCTGCCTGGTCATCGCCAGTTGCCAGTATTCCTTATTAAAGGTCAGTCACAGCACAGAAGAAACGACTTTAGGACATGAAGAAGGCAAACAGAGACGCTTTGTTAGATGTGAGAAGTCAGTGGTTTATCGTGGGCTGTTCTCAGCACATGATGGCAGCTTTTTCCAAGTATTCTTTTCCTTAAAGAAATATTTTGTCGTGCTTAAGTGATTACAAACTCTCAGAATAACATAAATAATTTTAAGGCAAAGAAATCAGTGTACTTATTTTTACATGTTTTTTTATTCTCTTGACAGAGTGTCCAACCAGACTCCTCTTCACCCCGACACGTGAGTGAAAACTTCACATATTTAAAATACGATTTAAAAAAGATTGAAGACTTAAAAACAGACAAAACAGCTGAGACGTAACAACTTTTAAACCAGTGATTGTTATTCACAGCATTTTCTTTCTGTTTTCTGTATGTTTTTTTTTAAATAATGCCGCTCGTCCCCTATGGGTCGGGGTTCGTCTCCACCTCCCTGATTCTCTCCTCCCCTCCTCCCTTGCGTCAGTTTTCGCTGCTCCGAATCGTCGTCTATTAATGCGGCTCTGCTCTCAGCTGCAGGCGGAGGGCTTTAAATAGTTTTAGAGCACGGCTCCATCTCTCTCACTGTGTCTGTATCTATACCTGTCTCTGTGCACCTTCCCTCTGCTCTCACTTCTTTCTCCTCTTTAACCTAATCTCACCTTCTCTGACACAGTTGACACAGATTGAGTAATAGTGTCTATTTAAAGTTGTGGGAGTTAAAAAAAAAAAAAGAAGAAGAAGGTCGGATCACAGGCTCTGAAACTGTCATTTTTCTTCTCACGTTGGCCCTTTGACCTTGTTGACCCTTGGTGAACTCCTCCCTCCGTTCACAGTCACACTCTGTGGCCACTCCATTAGGAACGTCGTTTAAGAAGTCGCAACGTTATTTGAATTACAATCCCTTATTTAGACTTTAATAACGTGAAGATTTAGAGCTGTCTAACAGTTGCATTTCTGAATGTAATAAATGAATGACAGTGCTGTAGCTGTGGATTAATCATGATAATGTACGAGTAATCATGTATAATGGAGATGAATTTACATCCCTAAATATGACAAAAATATTCTTCTGTATATCGCTGGAACAGAAATTAAAATAACAGCAAGTTGATGTATTTGTTTTATATGAAAATATTCCAAATGATGGAATTATTAATTTGAGAAATGACAAGGTGTCACTGGTTTTCGTCATTACTGTACACCTTGACCGTGACTCGTAGAAAGTAATGTGAAAAACCGTTGTTATGCTGTTATTCTCAACAATATTAATGAGTGTTAATTGCTGTAGTGCCTGGCAGCTGTTTGTCTGTTGTGTCAGTCAGCTTGTCAGCCGTAGACTTCCTGCCCTGACCTTACTGAGGCTGCTCAGACCTGTTTCCTGCCCTGACCGTACTGAGGCTGCTCAGACCTGGAGCTGAAGCCTCCACATCACAGGCTGGTGTAGAGATGATGTCTGAGCTGCTTCAAAACTTTAACCAGTAACGTGTGTAAATGACTTCCTGTGAATCAACTGTGTGTTAGAGCAACGACAGGTGGACGGTGGACTTACAGGAGATACAGTGCACGTCTGTTAAAATGATTAATATTGTGTTGTCTGAATGTTAAGTAGCAGTAGATCACATTATATAACACTACACGTATGTTTAGGATTCGTCTCAACACTGTGCACTTGTCCCCACAGGGCCATAACCGCGTCATCGCGTACAGCCGGCCAGTCTACTTCTGCATGTGCTGTGGCCTCATTTGGCTGCTGCACTACGGCAGCCTGAGGGTCACTTCATCCAGATTTACTTTGTACGGGGTTGCGCTCACCAGCTCCCTGGTCCTGACCTCTGCCAGGGACCTCGTCATAGGTGAGACAACAGCCTTTGGGCAAGGTAGTAATTTAACCACCATCCTCTACCAGCCTGTCCAACACAGAGCTGGGGTTGAGCTACAGGCACTGAGTGGCACTGGGTTAAAGTCAGGGTAGACTGGACATTAGGATATTATCACTCTTAATTACATTTTAAATATTTTCTCAAAGCAATGAATCCATGAAATGAAATTAATAATTAAAATGACAAATTTGCATCCAGTTTATTTATTTGCATTTTTAAATTGTCAAAACTCTACTTTTGTTTATAGGGATAATGATAATGATATTAAATGACATTTTCTAGTAACATTTACTGTTTGCTATCTTTTTGCTAGCTCGAGGCTAGCAGCAAAAATGCCCAGCCAAAACCATCTACTAAATAATCACTAAAAAAATAGCCCAGAAATAGTTAGGTAAAGAACCTAAGACCCAAAAATTTAAGCTAAAAGTTGGAAAAAGTTGGCTCACTCCACAGCTACTGGGGGTAATGGCTACCAAAAAGGACTAAAGAGCTACTTGTTAGCCCAGAAGATAACTGTCAATAAGACAGTTGATGCATTTGCAGAAAATCCAGCACAAATAGGTTGTAGTTTTCTTCAAGTGATGAGAGCGCGTCCCGCCCCAGGACTGCGATCATCGTCTGATCCGTCTCCATCTTTGATGAAGCGTCTGACGTTTAACAGTATTGTTGTCTTCTGTGTTTGTCTGCAGTCTTCACTCTGTGTTTTCCCATCATCTTCTTCATGGGGCTGCTGCCACAGGTCAACACCTTCGTCATGTACCTCTTTGAGCAGCTGGACATTCACGTATTCGGGGGCAATGGTGAGTAACTTCGGGGGGCGGGGTGTAGTGTAGGTTCTCTTGCAGCGGTGACTTTGGAAAAAAAAAACCACTGTTAGGTTTTATATACTCTGATACTTCAGGCTCGGTCAAAGTGCTGATTCGTATCCTGACTGGAGCGTTGCCTGTCGGGATCAGTGCCCTGACTGCTGACAACCTCTGTCTGTCTCTCCATCTCTGTGTGTGTGTGTGTGTGTGTGTGTGTGCCCGTGCCCTCTGCAGCCTCCACCAGCCTGCTGTCAGCTCTCTACAGCATCCTGCGCAGCATCGTCACTGTGGCTCTGCTTTATGGCTTCTGCTACGGAGCTCTGAAGGTGAGAGCAAAGACGAGTCTGTGTCTGAACCTGATATCATCGTCTCACTGTGGATAAAAAATGTACACGGACACAAGAACTGTCTTTTTATTCTCTCTCTCACACACACACACACACACACACACACTGACGGTTCTCCGCTGCAGTAAGTTTTTGTAAAGCAATATGATAGATGTCATTGCTGCAGCAGTAGTCCAAAGACTGTTTCGTCCTCCTGCAGTCGTCCCGTCTTTCACTTCCTGCATTTCTACTGTGAAAGACTCTGTTTGTTCCATTTGATTCTTAAAGAAACTCCAACACAAGTCTGTCGTCAACACTATGTTCAACTATGTCATCCTTTGCGTTTTTGCTGAAAATGAAGACTTAAATTTTCATTCTCCTTCAGGAGAGCTGGGAGCCTCATCACATCCCTGTCTTGTTCTCCGTCTTCTGTGGCCTCTTGGTGGCAGTGTCGTACCACCTGAGCCGGCAGAGCGGCGACCCTTCAGTCCTCATGTAAGATAATGCAAACTTCTGAGACCTTGTATAATCACCTGCCGAAAAATCAGTATAAAACTGTGTTTTCATCGTTAGCTATAGCATTTTGACAGCAGTCATGTGACAAAGTTATCGTCAACCATTTTTCAGGTGAAAACCTTTTGAATCCAGGGTTGTCGGCCAGTCAGAGAATGATTTCTGTGTGGATTTTCCTCTCATCACACTGAGGGCTTTATAGGTTCATGGGTTTTTGCTGATTTTTTTTTCTCTCTTGCTCTCCAGCTCTCTGATTCAGTCCAAGATTTTGCCCAACATAAAAGACAAAAACCCAGAAGACCCTCTGTCAGAGGTTCAGGACCCTCTGCCTGAGAAGCTCAGAGCCTCGGTGGTGAGTCTAAACCCTCCTCATGGATTTTCCACAGGTCCGACCGGGACGATTACCACAGTGGAAACAGATTATCTGCTTTAATAGCATGTTTGATAAATGGGCTCTAATTTTCTCCAGAACGAGCGTCTGCAGTCTGACCTCATCGTCTGCGTGGTCATCGCCGTCCTTTACTTTGCCATCCATGTCAGCACTGTGTTCATCGCACTACAGGTAAATTATTCCTAATAACCAAACAAAGGCTGTGTTTTGGGTACATTTTTTTTGTTTTCTCTGACAAAGGACTGTCTGTGTCTGTCTGACCCTCAGCCTTTCCTCAGTTACGTCCTCTACGCTCTGTTAGGGACGGTGGGTTTGTTCACCCACTACCTGCTGCCTCAGGTCAGAAAACAACTGCCCTGGTACTGTTTCTCTCACCCGCTGCTCAAAACGAAGGAGTACTATCAGTTTGAAGTCAGGGGTAAGTACCGAAGGATTCTGGGATTGGACGTGCCTCTCACATTGACAGCCTTTAATTACAAACCTGGTTAAAGGGGACACACTATAGTACTGTAATACTACTGATGGACTTTGTCAGGGTTTCTGTTCACATACAGACACATACGAATTCTACTCTTTTAGATTTTTTTATTATCCATCTGGACGTTTGTTCCCTGTGTTACCTGGTCATAATCACCCCTCCACCCATACTACCTGGGTGAGGATCTGGTATTTGCTCTACAATTACACAACTGCCTGATCGCTCTCGTGTACATGAGAAAAGCTAAGGACAGCTGGTCTTTTATTACAGCTGTAGTGGAGGCTTTAGTTAGTCCATGTATTAACATCAGTGTAACATTGATGATTGAAGATCGCTCTCATTCAAACATATACAGTTGGACCACCGTTGTGTGTCCAGTTCACTGCCATGGTCCATGGTTACATCAACCCGTCCTCACATCAACTTCTTGACACCTGTTGTGGACAGTCCTTGTCCTCACCTTTACTTCTTGACACCTGTTGTGGACAGTCCTTCAGATTTCCCACTGAAACACGTTACTAACATTTCACTTTAACATTAAGCATTAACGAACCATATTAATGGTAAAATCCTTGGGGCAGTGGTGACTTAGTGGTTAAGAAAGCGACTTGAGTCCAGAAGGTTTTGAGTCCACCAGCTGCCAAGTCACCACTGAGGGGCTCTGAGCACAGCACCGTCCCCACTCACTGCTCCCTGGTCCTTAAAGCTGCCACTGTTCACTGTGGTGATGGGTTAAAGCAGAGGTCACAGTTGGTTGTGTGCAGTGGTGAGCTGTGTCACAGTGACAAGGAGTTCACGCGCGGGGGCCGGATTATAAGTAGTATAAAATGTCCCCTTTTAAATTGTGTGGTTGTCATGGCGACGTCTCTGATACCAGCTGTGTATCATACACCCGTTGCTTCATTGTGCCTCTGTTTCCATCAGATGCTGCTCACGTCATGTGGTTTGAGAAGCTCCATGTGTGGCTGCTGTTTGTGGAGAAGAATGTCCTGTATCCCCTCGTCATCCTCAACGAGCTGAGCGGCAGCGCCAGAGAGCTGGCCAGTCCGAAGAGACTGGACACAGAGTGAGAGTTTTACCGTCTACCTAGAGCAGGCATGGGCAAACTAAGGCGCGGGGGCCGGATAAGGCCCATTCAGTTTTTTAATCCGGCCGCCAAACTTTTTCAAATTATATATATATAATATTTAGATTCTCATTATACTTCTGCCTTTTCCCTGCAATACCCACGTTTCTCCAACAGATGGCGTAGAAATGCTAAAAGCATTTTAGCATTAAGCCATTATGCATGACTTTTAAGTCATTTATCTATTTTAGCATTAAGCCATCATGCATGACTTTTACATGTCATTTATCTTAGTTCACACGAACACTCCATCTATCTGCTCCTGACTCCGCCCACTGTTCAATTTTAGGACAGTTGTGGCCCAAGAGTCAAACTGTTTGCCCAGTCCTGACCTGGAGTCTAATCTCAGTTACTAACATCATGTTGTGGTGGTGTTATATAAAAACCCACCACACTAACGTTGGTTTGTGGTGGTTGGTCTTTTCCAGGGTCGGTGCTCTGATGATCACAGTAGCAGGTCTGAAGCTGCTGCGGTCGTCCTACAGCAGCCCCACCTACCAGTACATCACCATCCTCTTCACCATCCTCTTCTTCACCTTCGACTACCGCCACCTGTCTGAGACACTGCTGCTCGACCTTTTCCTCATGTCTATTATCTTCAGTAAGGTGAGTGGAGGGACATGGAGTGGTTTACAGCTTCTGCTCTTCTGACTTTATATATTACATTCCGGTCATTCTGCTTTAAGAAAGATTCTTAACCATAGGACCGTGGCCCAAACTTGGGCCGCCCGGGCCACCTAGAAGGTCACCAAAAACGTTTAGTTTTGCACCTGTTCACATCAACTTTATTGATCACTGTACTTGTGTACAATATACACACGTACGTACCATGAATATCTCCTATGAATTTAACCTTTTCCTGGGAATAGTTTCAATAATAAACCAGGAATAATTGGCATGAAAGAGGTTTTTAATGTAAACACATTTACAAACAATATATTTAAATCTGGTATTTAAGACAACAGACATTTTGTAACTAACCAGATCCTGATTGTCATTGGCTGAAATACAGCCCCAGTCCATTACAGTACATTGCCCGCCCTATACTATAATCTAGTTTTCAATTAATCAGATTCATTTTATGGTGTTTTATGTTTGTACCATATTTTTTAATGGCCACATTTAATTTTTAAAAATGTCTTGATTAAATTATTTGATTAAATTATTTGTTTGTGTTTTTCGAGTATTTTTAAAATGTCTTGATTAAATTATTTGTTTGTGTTTTTCCAGATGTGGGAACTGTTCTACAAGCTGCACTTTGTCTACACCTACATCGCCCCCTGGCAGATCACATGGGGATCTGCTTTTCATGCCTTTGCTCAGCCCTTTGCTGTGCCTCGTATCCTTCCACTGACATCACTGTCATGTTTAAGTACAAACAGCCACTGCTTTAGACTGAGAGTGTTGACTCCACCCAACTGGAAACAAAAGTCAACAGCAGATCTATAGACCACATGGAATCGTCGTTAGCATATTGTATGGCTAATTACACAGTAGTTTTCTACGACTTGACCCTTGACCTGCACCTCTCCAGACTCCGCCATGCTGTTTGTCCAGGCCGTCGTGTCTGCAGTCTTCTCCACTCCACTCAACCCCTTCCTGGGCAGTGCCATCTTCATCACTTCCTACGTCCGTCCTGTGAAATTCTGGGAAAGAGACTACAAGTAGGAGGAACAGTCACACATATTTAATCTTCTCCCTCAAATCAAAGTGTTTCCAGACTTGAACTGTTTCTATTTTCTCATTTTCCAGTACAAAAAGAGTGGATCACTCTAACACTCGACTGGCCTCTCAGCTGGACAGAAACCCAGGTGACGCGACGATGACTGGATTCTTTCTAAATAACAAGATTAGAAGCTGAAAGTAAGACTTCCCCCAACAGCGGTTTGAACTTCCTTCTTTTTCTCCTCAGGCTCTGACGACAACAACCTAAACTCCATCTTCTACGAGCACCTCACTCGCTCGCTGCAGCACAGCCTGTGTGGCGACCTCCTGCTGGGCCGATGGGGAAACTTCAGCACCGGGGATTGTTTCATCCTGGCCTCCGACTACCTGAACGCTCTGGTTCACCTCATAGAGATCGGCAACGGCCTGGTGACGTTTCAGCTGCGAGGCCTGGAGTTCAGAGGTGAGAAGAGAACACGTGACATTGATTTATCAGCAGGTTAGTCATAATACTGTATTGTTAGTTATACAGTATTGTATGGTCTGATGTGCTGGACTTTTTAATTCAACTAATTTAATTCAACTCTCCTTACTTGGGGTTTTAAAGACGCAGTGACTGTGAAAACCAATTAAAAAGTCTTCCACTTGGTGGCAGTAGATGCTCTAAAACAAAAAGAGAAACTCAGCTAGTGAAGAACTTCGTATGTATCTTTAATTGCAGCGTTGTGTTGATCTGAACAGGCTAGGTCTCACTGAGTAAGTAAATTGTGAGTAAAACTCAAACTAGAAGAACTGGAAAATATGTTCTGTGGCTTTAACACGGTTTGGAAACAGGATCAGTGTTGGACTCCTGTTTTCACCGGTTTATTCCACTCACTAGGAACGTACTGCCAGCAGAGGGAGGTGGAGGCCATCACTGAGGGCGTGGAGGAAGATGAAGGCTGCTGCTGCTGTGAACCTGGCCACCTCCCTCACATTCTGTCCTTCAACGCTGCCTTCGGTCAGCGCTGGTTGGCCTGGGAGGTGTTGGTCACCAAGTACGTGTTGGAGGGCTACAGCATCACTGACAACAGCGCCGCCTCCATGCTGCAAGTGTTCGACCTGAGACGCATCCTGACCACATACTACGTCAAGGTCAGTCCACCATCACTGGACCGTGAACTTTAACCCTGCGACCATCTCCATGTGCTTCACGTCAGGCACAGACCCTGATGTTTGGGTTAATCCTGTAAACACTGTAATAAAACACAACAATGATTGAAAAAAAACAAAACAATTGAAAATACATTTTTAAAAAGTCCTCTATTTATCCGGCCTGATCCGGGGGGTTTGTGGACCAGAAGTGGCCCGTGTGCCTGTAGTTTGCTTTAACAAATCAGTCTGCTCTACACTCAGGGTATTATCTACTACGTCATCGCCTCCACCAAACTTGAAGAGTGGCTGGCCAACGAGACTATGAAGGATGGTCTGCGAGCCTGTGGCGAGAGGAACTACGTCGACCTAGATCCGACCTTTAACCCCAACATCGATGAGGACTACGACCATCGTCTCGCAGGAATCTCCAGAGACAGTTTCTGCAGCGTCTACCTGGGCTGGATCCAGTACTGCAATTCACGCAGGACAAAGGTAACGCTACAAGTAGTATTCACCTTAAGCAACCATAGATAAGGCTGCATTTAATCCACAGGAAGTAGTATTTGGAGCTAAGGATGTAATGATGACTAAAATGTTCTGTCAGTCTTAGAAAGTCAGGGAACCATGAGAACACTAAACCACAACCTATGCTCACGTAGCAACGGGCAAATTAGCATCATGCTAACAGGACCTTGATTGCAGTAAAAAATGGGGGAAGCTGTGTCAGCAGCAATATTTGGGTTCCTGGTGTGAAAAGTTCCTGGCACTATGCAGTAAAAATCCTGATGTTGTTTTTTTTATTCTTCATTCTGTAAAGATGACATTATTTGTTTCCTGAATGTTTTTCGTGTCTGTTTTATTCTCAGCCTCTGGACAGTGAGAAGGACTCGGCTCTGGTTCTGCTCTGCTTTGGACTGTGTGTGCTGGGAAGGAGGGCGCTGGGCACCGCCGCCCATCACATGTCCAGGTAATTTAGTCGTCCTTGTACCGTAGAGTCAGACAGAGTCAGAGCTCAGGTGTTCGACCCACGTGTCTTCAAACACCAGCCTCTGATATTTGTTCTCTGAAAACCAAACCAAAATATTCATGAGAAATGATTAATGATTATTTCTTTCGATTAATAGACAAAGTGGATTTAGTGCAGTGTGTCTCCTTGAAAGTAAAATCCTATGACTAAAGTGAATGAAGTCAATATTTAGTATTTCCACAGATATGGGTGTCTGTGTGTGAATGTTGTGTATAATTCAATGCTGTGTTGTTCTTACCTAGAAGCTGAGTCTGAAACTTTATTTCAAAGTCATCATTATTTAAAGCTGTTGTTTCTCTTCTTCTGTTTCCCCGACATCACAGCAACCTGGAGTCTTTCCTTTATGGACTTCACGCTCTGTTCAAAGGAGATTTTCGAATCTCTTCGGTCCGTGATGAGTGGATCTTCGCCGACATGGAACTGCTCAGGAAAGTGGTGGTGCCTGGAATCAGGATGTCGTTAAAATTACACCAGGTGAGTCTGTGTAAATACAGCTGGAAGTGTGTAGCACACACTTTGACCTTTGACACTGTTCTCAATGTTAAATTTGGTCTGTGACACAAAGTTCTGCCTCCGTTGTCCTCAGGACCACTTCACGTCCCCCGACGAGTACGACGAGCCCACGGTTCTTTTCGAGGCCATCTCTACGCACCAGCAGAACCTGGTCATCGCTCACGAGGGCGACCCAGCCTGGAGGAGCGCCGTGCTGTCCAATGCACCCTCCCTGCTCGCCCTGCGCCACGTTCTAGACGAAGGCACTAATGAGTACAAGATCATTATGCTCAATCGACGATACCTCAGCTTTCGTGTCATCAAGGTAGAAACTGACACATTTCTGACGCGCCAATGTCACCTCAACAGAACACGTGGTAAGACCCTGTGTTTTCCTGCTGCAGGTGAATAAAGAGTGTGTCCGCGGTCTGTGGGCGGGGCAGCAGCAAGAGCTGGTGTTCTTGAGGAACAGAAACCCAGAGCGCGGCAGCATCCAGAACGCCAAACAGGCGCTGAGGAACATGATCAACTCGTCATGTGACCAGCCCATCGGTTACCCCATCTACGTGTCTCCACTCACCACCTCCTACTGCAACTCTCACCCTCAGCTCGGACACATCCTGGGAGGACCAATCAGCATCGGGAACATCCGCAACTTTGTGGTCGGCACTTGGCACAGGTGAGAGGACGGGGACTTGTTCTTCCTTCAGCTGCTCTGCTCATGTCTGATTTTATCTCATCACCCTCTGGTCCTACATTTGACTGACCTGATTTGAAAAGTTGTTCAAGTAATTTGCTCTCTTTTTTTTTTCTACCCCTGTTGCTAGGTTACGGAAAGGCTGTGGCGCCGGCTGTAACAGCGGCGGTAACATTGAGGACTCAGACGCTGGCGGGCTTTCCTGCGGCAGTGGGAACGGCACAGGAGGCGACTCTCAGCAGAGCTCGGTGTCACAGGGTGGTCTGTCTGGACCCGTCCCTCCGTACTCATACCAACCACATCCTCTGGGTAAGAACCGCTCAGTCTGCTCCAGCTGATAACAACAGTACTTTAGTTTTTAACTTCACAGCCGAACGCCTGAGGTTTGTGTATGTACACTTAAAGGCACAGCCTGCTCCCCTTGTGGTGTAACAATGTCATTACATCAGGTTTCTGCTGCTCAACAAACTCTGATGTCACAGTATGAACCTTTACATTTGTCCTCGTGATTGACATCGATGTTGTGTTTTTTTTATTGTTTTGTTTTTGCAGTAACATACAGTGAAGCCGTCTTTTATGTTTTTATGTGTCCTTTTTAGAGCAGTGAAAGAATAAGGCCACAGAGAGTGTGGAGAATAAGTGGGTTTATGGGCTAGAAAGAAGTGCAGACTCGGGATAAAGATGTCTGGGGTTTTAGTTTGTGAGGAGGAGGGTCTTAAATCTCTCTGGCACCAACATGTGACCTACATGGTTTCACTTGTTAAAGGAGTAAAAAAACAAAAATGTAGGTTTATTTTGTTTATTTTGGAAATGAATGCTTAATTTAAAAGTGTCTTAAATTCTTTTAAAGTCAGATGTTTGTTAATTCACACCTCCATAGAACAGTACAGCACTGTGCTACATTCAACTGGTCAACCAGGCATTAGTGACTGACCCATGGTGTGTGTGTGTTATATTCTCAAGTCGTTTTTTGTCCTTTATATGAGTTTAAAGTTTGACTTTTTTTCCCCAGGAACCAGTCAAAGTTCCCAGTCGGTTCAGTCAGGTCTAGTTCGCCACTCTCCAGCCCGAGCCTCCGTCGTCAGTCAGTCGTCCTCTTATCGCTACAGCAGCAGCCGTCACTCCTCCCTGCGCACCTCCACCACAGGCCTGGAGCCCTGTCGCCGCTCCTCCACCAGCCAGCTGTCCCTGCGCACAATCCCTACCTCCCTGCAGCTACGACTGGGCCCTAACTCCGACCCGGCCGGCCCCTCCGCCTCCCTGTCCAGCCACAGCATCCCTCCCTGCAAACGCCACACCTTGGTGGGCCTCCTGGGCAATGACAGCCTGTGCAGCACTGTCACGGACCCCCTCAGCCAGCATCACCACCACCACCACCACCATCACCACCCTCAGCAACACAACCCATCCATCTCCACTGTGCGCAGAGACGACATTTCCTACAGAGTACAGGTTTGTCAGTAAAGCCTTGTTTTCACTTGTGGTTCATGTGTGAAGTAGCTGACGTTGACATATTCCTCCACTGGTCCAGATTGTAGACGTGACTCAGGTTCTGGAGCACATCAACTTATCAAAGAGGAAGGAGCTGCAGTGGCCTGAGGAGACCATGAGACTGAGGTCAGGACGAACCTGCTGGAGAGACTGGAGCCCCCTAGAGGGCATGGAAGGACATGTAAGAAGTTTTATTTTCATTTACTTTTTATTATTTGGTTCAAACAGTCTTTCAATCCTTCAATGCTCTCAATAAAACACTTGACATTATATTCACACCATATTATATACAAACAAATGTATAATTATTATAAATAATTGTATATATATAAACCTGTAGTCGTTATAAACATATGAATTTATAACATCTACACATACACATAATCATACTTGAAATATTTGTAAAATCAGTAAGTATAGATAACCAAAATAGTTAGGCTTTCATGTTGTCTGGAGAAGTCACTGCTTGAACCAGCAGAGGGCACTAAAGTTTTCCACAACTATGTTTTTACATAAACAAAGTACATACTAAGACTAAGTCAATGCCGATTCTCAATTATTTGAAAATGATGTCATTGATTTTTTTGGATGGGAATCACTCTACAAACCCAAAGCTAAAGTTTTTTAACTTTTAAAACAATTCTGTTGGTTGACCTGTTGTTTTAAAACCTTAACTTTTAAAACAATTCTGTTGGTTGTAGTCATAATTAAATCTAGTGCTCCTTTGTCGCCCTCTACAGGTGATTCACCGGTGGGTGCCTTGTAGCCGAGACCCAGCCAATCGCTCCCATATCGACAAGACCATCCTGCTGGTACAGGTGGACGATAAGCTAGTGCCCATTATTGAGACTGGGATCATTGAGTTGGGAGCAGAGGTGTGACGTGGACAAGCAGACACATCACACTCACATACAGGCATAAAGATGAGGCCAAACTTCTGGTTTTCAGC